CCATTATATCACAGCCAGCAACACGCAGCAGCAACAACAGCAGCAGCAGCAACAGCAACAGCAGCAGCAATCGCAGTACAACAGCTTTGCCAGCGAGGCGCCGCCTGTATATGCCGAGTCCACGCATGGCCAGAAGGTAATGGTGGTCACGCCTGTGCCGCCTGCCGCCAGCTATGCCAGCTACAATCAGTATCCGCAGGCGCACAACGAGCAGGTGATACAGGTGCATCCGCAGGCGCAGCAGCCCAGGCAGACGAACAATGCGCAGCTGAGTGCAGCTGTGGATAACTCGCCCTTCAGCGTATCCACTTACCACTCGGATGTGTTCAAGGAGCTGCAGCAGCGACAGCAACAGGAGCGAAACCAACAGCAACAACAGCCGCAGCAGCAATCTACTTATGTAACCCCAGCAGCAGCGGCAGCAGCAGGAGGAGCTGCCGGTGCAGCAGCCGCTGCTGCCCCAACGCCAACTCCGCTGCCCACGGCTGCGCCCGCGCCCAATGGCAAGGCTTCGCAGACGCTGCTGCAGCTGCCGGACGAGGTGCCCGATGATCTGCGCCAGCAGCTCTTCTCCTCCGGCATACTGAACAATGCCGACATCTCGGTGCTGGACTATGATAAGCAGGGTGATATTGCTTTAGAGAATCTGCCCGCGGAGCATCTGCAGCATTTCTATGGCGCCGGCGGCGGTGCACAAATAGCCGAGACCAACAAGGTGTTGACCGTGGTGAAGCCCAACGGGGACAAGGTGGCGCTCAGCGAGAAGCAAATCGAACGCGTCAAGCAGAGCAACTCGTTGCCACAGAAACAGAATCTGGACGTGAAGGTGGTGCGCTACGATGCCGAGCAGGGCCAGAGCGTGAGCGACAAGTATGTGCGCACGGATGCGACCGTGGTGACGCCCGTCGAGCTGGCCGATCGTCAGCAATACAATCGGTATTTGCCGCTGAAAATAAATGGCGCACAGTTTCCCATACCCGACAGCGAGGAGCTGCTGGGCAAGAAGATTGTGAGCGTGGTGGTGCTGGCGCCAGTCGAGGCACAGCCTCCGACGCAGTCCAGCGAGGCGCGCAGCAGCAGTGTGGACAGCAAGGAGGTCAAGTTTCTGGGCGGTGAGCTGGTCAAGACGCTGGTCAAGAAGCCCACCAAGGAGAACTTCAAGCGCTGGCTGGAGAAGGAGGCGCGCACGGACATTGAACTACAGTCGGTGGTGCTCCTAGTGGCCAAGTAAGTCTAGAAAAGATCAAAAATTAAGAAGCCAAATAAGCTTTCTTCTGGAAATGCTTTTATAAGAAAGTGTTAGTTAGTTCCGTCCGATTGGTCCAATAGGAGCCACATGACATAATAGTCCGATTCAGTAGCATAATCTTAGTAGATATAGTAGTAGTTCTTAACAGCCAATGTTTATGTGACGTTAACAGTGTGACGCTAACAGAGCAGCATGCAAGCACAATGTATATCATGCTTCTTTATTATGCCACAGATCCAGCGATGCCTCGGAGCAGGAGATCTTCATGTATGACATAACGACAGGCAGCGTCAACAAGCTGAATGGCGAACTCTCCAGCACCTTTGTGAATGTAGCCGAGGAGAATGCCAGCAGCGAGGATTTGGAGCATGCGGCCACACTAGATCCCAGCTCGCTGGAGACCATGATGCATATGCGTCGCAGATGAAGCAGACGCCGCACACACACATACAGACACACATAATATGCCATTTAGATACTTGACCCAAACATCCTTGAACTTGTACTATATACAAATTCTTTCTTTCATATTGGCGCACATTATTTTTGGCACTAAAATTCGTACATAAGAGGTATCATTGATGCGGTTCTTACACAGTGCATATTCCTTTTCGTAGTATTTCAATGTTGTAAATATATTCTGATGATTATCTTAATTTAAGTTAATTTACGTGAATAATAAAAACAAATTTAATTAATGTATGAGATATTTAAGCGCAACATGTAAATCAAATGTTAGCAAACATGGCCCTAACAGAGCCTTAATTTTGCCCAGCTTTTGGGTTGCTGTCCGCGCTAAGCTGAGCTTTAAGCTCTTGTTAAGCTTTGCCGCATACCGTTCGAGCAACTTCTTTGCCAACATTTGAGCTTTAGTCTAAGAGTTGTTTACAAACTGCGCCTACAGACTCAACATGCTGGCCAACACATTTAGGCCAAGGTTAGCTGCTAGCACCACAAAAGATTAACATACACACACCCATCGATAGCAGGACAAGATGTTGTCGTAAACAATAAAAATGCGCACTAATCATATGCGCATACGTGACCTATCAGCGCTGGCCGGCCACATTGGCTGCTGGACGACGTGACCAAAGGCCAACAAAGAGCACGCATAAATCTGTGGCTTAAGCAGCGTGCGCTCTCTTCGAAGATGCTCGCTCTTTGACAGTTGCTTGGCCGGTTCGCATTGGGCCTTTTCGGGCACACACACACACACACACAAGTGTGTGTGTGTATGGCAGCGTAAGTGCAACAAGTCGCAGTCAACGGCTATAATTACATGCCGTTTATTTTTAGCGCACAGCAACACAAGCCATTTGGACAGACAACAGCAGCAACAACAACAACAACAACAACAACAACTAAATGCAATAGCCAAAAACGTCGATAACAACAAAACAACTGAAAAATGCAGCGCATAAACGAGGCCTGGTTTTTTATTGCAACGCGCAAAAGCTAACATACCGGCTATGAGAGCTGCTTGTTGTGGTCGTCGATGTTGTTGTCGTTGCCGGATCGAGTCGATAACAACATGTAAACACACACACACACACACACACACACACTGCTGCTTGTGTGCATGCATAGAGTGCAATTCCAACTGCGAGCTCTTCTCCCTTATGCAATGTGCGGTAAGTTTTATGTCTTTCGATTTTTGGCTATTTGATCGAATCTAATGCGAAACAAATGGAAAAGCTTAAAATTGTGCATGTGAGAGTGAGTGAAATAGTACAGTGAAAACTCGCTTGGGCGGACAGCGAGTCGTCGGATAATGGATATGGCCTGATTCATAATGGTTTGTATGAAAATGTCCGCCTAGTGGGAGTTATTTAAACTTGATTCAATATTGGTCTGTTCCCTTAAGCGGTTCAACTAGGTTTAAATACACAATTAAATAAGTTTGAAGTATTCTCGTAGTTAAATTAATTATTTTATACTTCAATGAACGTGTTTACCTGTCTTAAACAGGAAATTCTTGACTTTATAAGTGGTCATTTTCCGACTATACAAATTGTTAAGATAAACATTTGCAAGTTTATAAAGCAACAGATGGAATTTTGTGGCAGATTTGCATATTTTATGTATCTTCTTGAAAAGTCAACAAAAAACTCACGAATCGAATTCAAATGCAATAAAAAATATTTAGCATAAATATTATTTTTAATGCGTACATAAATCTTTGGCATTAAAATTTGTTAAATATCGCATTAATTGACATTAAAGCCACAAAACTGAAGTGAATATTTGTGGGAATCTTTATACAAAACTCGTTTTTCAACATTCAAATTTTTATGTCTGCAGCTATTTTTAAAAAACTCAATTAGTAACAAAATCGTAACAGAAATTATCACATTAACATTAGTTTATTAACAGACCAAAGGTCTATTTTTGGGCTTACGAATTACACATCCAACGGGCATTTCCCCTTCTAGGTTAGGGCAGCGAGTATTTCGACGTTGCGACGTTGATTTTAAATATAAACAACAGTATTCAATGGAAATTAATTGAGTAGGCGCCGATCAATCAATTGAATAATTACTCGAAATTAAATCTTCGTAATTTAATACCTGATAAGGTTTTCTTAAGGCTTCGCTGGAAAAAACAACAACAACAACAACAACAACAACAAAAACAACAAATAATAAAACTGACTCAATTGTATTCGCATTTCTGCTCATCCCTCACGGCGCATATCGTGTGTGCACACACACATATGTACGTCTGTACATGCATATATATATACACGCACACACACACACACATATGCTGTTTGAATTGTTTTCGATTTCTTACAACGCCTTTCGCTGTAATTTTCGTATTCTGCTTCCCCCATGCATGCGTTCTTTTTCTCTCTCTCTCTCTCCCTCTCTCCTGCTGAGCTTTTTCTGCGACTCGTTTTAAAATTGGGTTACAGAGCCCAAGACCAAAGCCCCAAACCAGCAACCCAAAAAACAAAAAAAAAAGAAATAAAAATGCAAAAATCCGTTTGACGCCGTAAGCTCCGTGAGTCAGAACTGTTGCACTGATTGCTAAAGCAGCAGCAGCAGCAGCAGCAGTAGCAGCGGCAGCAGCAGCAGCAGCAGCAGCAACTGTGGGTGTGGGTAAAGTAGATGAAGAAGCAGAAGAGCTTCAGCTCGGACTTTATTTGTGTGCAAAAGATTTCGATTTCTCCACTTTTTGTTTTGCCTCTTTCAGCGTGTCTGCTTTGTTAGCTGATTTGTAACGTTACAGTCGTCCGTCGTAGGAGTCTGCTGCTCTTACTATTTGCTGTTGTAACGCGTGAGTTGTTTACGAGCGGCTTCAATAAATTTAAGAGCGCCAGTATCTGACTTAAGAGCGTGCTTAAGCCTTTACAGCTAAGCTTAGCGCTTGGCTTGACTGCGAGCTGATCAGGCCAGACAGCGCAGCTAGCTTTAAGCTTTAAGCTATTTATGTGTCTCAACGAGGTAACTTGATATATATATAAAAGAAACTATTCCTTAGCAAAAGGAAACTCGAGTTTTTTTCTTTTAATTCATGTTAAATTTTTATTCGGCAAACAAACCAAATTTTACTATGCAAATTAATGACTGACACAAGCTAAAACAAAAAAAAGCTAGCTCTAAGCTCTACTTGGTAATTCTAGCCAATACCTAAATGCTCTCCCGCAAAACTAGCTAGTTTTTAGCAGTAGAATGGCTAAAGCGGCAACCATGCCGAACGTCGAATGAAACGTGAAGCATCGTCGTCTGGCATCGCTCAAAGCTGAGCTCAGTTTGGTTCGATCAGTCGTCGCAGCAAGTCCAACTCGTCATCGGGCTCCACACACAGCGCAGTCGAGAGTCGAGGGTGGCGCAGTGCTTGGCCCAGTCACCGTCTCCGTTCCACCTAACTGAAAAGGGCGCGCGAGTGCATTAACTTTAACCGTTAACCGTATTGTGCGCTCATTTTTGGCTATATAATATATATATTTGTGTCAAGTTGTATTCGCGTGTAGAATATGTGTGTGTAAAGTCGAACGAATTATGCAATTGGCCTATGCTAAGTGAAAAGTCAAATTGTGTTTTGTAATGCTCCAAAGAAACGAATATACAAAGAAAAGTGAAGCTGCTGCCGAGCTAAAGCTAAATCGCAATCAACGGCACTGAAAAGCCGTTTTAAAACAAATACAAATAAAACATACAAAAAAAAAAAATAAAACAAAAAAGAGTTACTGAAATTTAAGACATCCAGACAAAAATGGCGGCTGCAGCGACAACGACAACTGCGACTGCGTCTGCGTCTGCGTCTACGGCGAACATTTGCGTCAGCTGCGCACGCCAGCGTCAAAGCCGACGCTGCGTCGGCGCCGGCGCTACGACTGCGGCTGGCAGTAATGCCATATTGCGAATTTATAGCGCCTGGGCACTACTCACACTGCTGGCCGCCAGTGCTGCCTATGTGCAGAGTGCAGCCGTTTCCTTTGGTTAGTTTGGTTTTCTTTCTTTTTAAATGAAACTTTGAGCTAACATCATTTAATATTCAAATTCGAAAAGAAGGCATTTCCTTTGTGCTGTGCTTCCCCGTTATGACAAGACTTTCATTTTGAATGCAAAAAAACAAGAGCTTCAAAATTGGCTTATCATTCGTATTTTGCGAACTAACAACCTCTTCTCGAATTTGCCAGCCATTTGTTTGTTTTCTACTTCTTCTTTTCTTATATTTTTTTTTGCACTATTCTATTTCAAGGCGCCTTTTGAGCATATTCTTAAGTTTCTGCGTGCTTATACAAATTCACTTCGAATGATGTGAACCACTGTCATTTATCTGTGTGTGTGTGTGTGTGTGTGTTTTTTTTTTTTTGTTTTTCTGTTTGTTTTGTTGCTGCGACAATTTGTGAACGTGAACCGTAAACCGGTCTCCGTTTCTGACCGTCTCTCGATCTTTTCACATGGTTTTTATTGCTTATTTATTTATATTTTTCATCTTTTCGTTAAATTTTTTTTTTTTATTTTTGGTCAAGCGGATTATTAATGTTCTTGTTGTTGTGTCAGTTATTGTAAAAACTTTACAGAGCTATGAACAAAGCACAACTTTGTTAATTGCTAATTGTTTTATTCTTTACGCCGACTTTTAAGCCGTGAATCATACTTGCGGCCGGCCTAGACATAATAACAATAAATAAAAAACATATCAATATACGCGGAAGCAGCACGCTTGAAATAAAATACTCAACGAAAGACACGTGAAAGTAAATAATAAAAGAAAATGAATAAAATTATATTTCAATTACAGCCGAATGAAAACTATAAAAAAAAAGCAGAAGAGGAGGAGACGAGACGGAACAAAAGCTCGGGCAGATGGCAGCGCGACCTCATTGTCATTGAAATACCGTTACGGCGAAGAACAAAAGCAGCGATGCCGTAAAGTTCAGCAGTTGCCAGTTACCGTTAGCCCGCTGACTTCCCCACCCGCGCCCCTTAGCCACCCTTTGGCAGGCAACTGCAACTGTTGCTGTTGCTGTTAACAAGCGATGCTTTTAACCCTGTTCCGTTGAACTTTAAACATTAATTTGACGTTCCATTTCGGAAACATGCCAATTGCAGCTGGGGCAGCAGCAGCAGCACATTCAAATGAAATGAATGAAACAAATGAAGAGGAATGTGAAAGATTATGCGCTTTACGCTTTACGCTTACGCTTTACACTATGCAAATTTGGTGCTAAGAAAAACAACCCTTGCCGGACAAGAAGCTGCCAGATCTGCTTAATAAACATATGCATATGATATGTGCATATGTGTACATACATGCATATCTATGTATGTATTCAGTTTAACCGGTTGCTGAATCAATTTGCTTAAAAAAAAAAAAAAATAACAAAACAACACACACACACACACACACACGCATACGTATGTTGCCAAACTGCTAGAATTGTTTTTGTTTTCTTTTGGCGTATAGCAACAAGAAGTCAATCGCCCTCTCTCTCTCTCTTTCCCTTATACACGCCAAGCTTCTGATCTGTTGATGTCATAAGAGTTCAATTAGGTGCAACACGCCCACCCGCTTGGCCCGTTCAAGCTGTTCAACATTTTTTGCTTTTGGCTCACAAAATGCAAATAAAAGTTGAAAAAAAAAAAACAGAATGCGAAAACAAAAAAGGGATAGCTAGAGCGAGATGGCACAGCTTAGGCTGTGTGCGTGCGTGTGCGTGTGTGTAACGAGCTGAGCATCAACATGCGCTCAATTAAAATGCAAATTGACCGTTATCTGAGCTGACTGCTCGCGCTCTCCTCTCACACTCTAACGCGCTCTCACACACAAAATGGCGACACTTGAAGATGTTGTTCTTGTTTAGTTTTGTTTTTTTTTCTTTTCGGGCTTGTTTTTTATGGCTGCTATTGCCAGCCCAACGCCCAACGCCCACCAGCCGCACTATCTAAATTGGTGCAAACTATTTTGGCCAGCAGCTTCCAGCTAACACACACACACATACACACATACACAGACACGCACAGCACTTTACTACAAGTTCTTACGATGTTGGTAATTTTTTGCTAATTGCTAAAATGGCCGCCTTGATTTATGTATGCGACCGTTAGAAGGCAGCAGGCGACTCCCAGTCGAGGTGTGTGTGTGTGTGTGAATGTGGAGTCACGTTGAACCGGCTGCAGCAACGGGCAATGCTCGGTCACGCTGCTGTTGGCAAACTGTGGCAGCAACAGTTGCCGTTAGGTTGCCTGCAATAAAGTTGTTGCTGTTGCACGCAACGCCGAGCCAGCAACAGCAACAGCAGCAGCAACAGCAGCAGCAAGAAACGGTTAAAGCTGAATGCATGTCAAGTTCTTAGCTGTTGTTGTTGCTGTTGCTGTTGCTGTTGCTTTGTGCTGCGGCGGCTCTTCAAGTTGTTGTCTTGTTTATAGTACAATTTATTTTATTTAGTTTGTTGCTGCTGCGCAAACAAACAGACAAACGACAACGACAACAACACACAGGCAAAATTGGCCAACAGGACTTGTAGAGCTGTCCACTCATTCTATTCTATATGTATGTATGTCTGTGCGTGTGGGTCAGTTGCCAGAGGTTCTGTTCGGAGGGGGGTTGGGGGGCGCTGGCACTTAACCCTTGCAGCTCTGACTTTGATAGTTGACCCAATTTTCAGCTGGCAAATAAAAGCAAACAAAACTACACTCAACGCTTTTTGTGCGTCAAGTGTTCACTAGTCTCTGCCCCATGTCTGCCCCTCATCCACTCATCCGCTCTTCCTTCTTTCTCCTTTTCCTCCTCTCTGTGAGTGTTGTGTAATATTTTTTAACAACAACTTTTTTATTTCGAGTGCTTTGGCAGCACTCAGCACCGCTTGTGGCCGCTTGTGCGTAGTTTTTTTTTGTATGCAACTGTATGCAACTGTGCGTAATTATGATGAAGTGAGCCCAACATGCCACATGCCACATGCCACATGCCACAGAATTTGTAATGCCCAGCCAGAACCGGGCATGGCACTCGAAACCGATGCTTGACAATCTGCAAGCCAAGTGCTGCGCTTAACACATGAGCGAACTGGCCTGGGCCCCAACAAAACCCAAACAAAGCCCAAACATAACAACAGCTGTTCGCCCCGCTGCAAGCGCCGAGGCCACAAATGTGTGTGTGTGTGCGAGCGTGTGTGTGTGTGTGTATAAGTTGTGTGCACTCATTAGAGTAGGCACCTGTAGATCAACATTGACTGCCCTTCAGTTAAGTTCAGTCCTATTCAAATGTCCGACACACGCGCAAAGCTTCTCATTTATGGCCACACTCGCACACTCGCACACACACTCACGCAGCTTCAAAATGTTTTTGCCGCTTTAAACGCGATTCTGTAATCAAGTTTTGTGCCGCTCTTGACCTTCTCGACGCCCCCCCCTCCCCCCTTCCACCCTCTAAAAAAAAACAAACAGAAACATTTTAAACGCAAATATAAACGCATTTTGAACTGATGTTTTCCTGTGTATTTGTATTTCCAGCATTTGCATAGATACTTGTTGTTTTTCAATGTGAAATTCGATGCCCAAAAAAAAAGTTTTCAGCTTTCCATTTTAAAAATATCACAGAGTTAAATTGGGCATTAGACGAAACTCGGCCTGTTCTGCTCTAGAAATTGATCAACAAATTATTAACGGCAACAATTTTGAGCGCAAATAAAAACCTTTTAAAAAAAAATCAAGTGAAACTACGGCCCTTTCTTTGCTTGGTTCGCTGAGCTGCGCTGTCCACTTCTAACCTCGACTGTAACCCGCTGTAACCCCCCACCCCAACCCCCGTGTCTACCATTCTCGCAAACAAACCAACAGCCCGCATCAACCTAAATGCGTCTCCCATCTGCTACTGCAGCCAAGCACAACACTCATTTAACTTGTTATACGTTTAAATTCATATGTGTGTGCCTCTGTGTGTGTGTGTGTGCTTGCTTTTAACCCAATTAGCTAAAGCTGTAACTGAAGCTGGAGTTCAGTGGCACAAGCCTCGACTTTTATGGCTGGCGCTCAGTCGGTCTACAAACAGCACACCCAATAAAAAAAAAAAATGGTAACACAGAGGAAAAAAAACCCCTAAACCTCATTGTTTGGCGGTGCTAATGGGCCAAAATGATAAGTTGTGGCTTAATTTATCAGTCCGTGCCGTCAGTTGGCTGTCGGACCAACTAGTTACAGCCAAAATGTTGTAGTAAATGCATTTTGAAGTCAACATTTTGATAGATTAGAACTGTTAATTATAAGCTAGCAAATAAACTAGCCAGCGAGCTTTGAGCTTTAAGAAAATTTAAACGCTGTTAGTCAATGCAATTAAAGTTTTCCTTTAAATGTACTCAATACGTTAAAGTTAATATAATTATATAATTATATATAAATTAAAGCTTTCATGTGCTTTAAGTCAATACATTTACTTTTGCTGAAAGCTTTGATGTGTTCTTAAAGCTTAGTTCACTAAAAAATAACTATTATAATTTGCGCTCTATTCGATATTATATTGCTAGAAATTGTTTTGATCGAAAAAGTTTAAAGCTCACAAAGTTTTAAGGTCATCTTCAGAGCCAGAACTACTCTACTCAACAGAGCTTAAAGCTCATTTTAACGTGAAGTCTTTCCATAATTGTTATTATATACTGAACTAAAAGCTCGCAGGTGATTTGTCGGAAATATTATTATCGCCAGAGCTTAAAGCTCACACGCTTTTTTAAAGCTCTTTAACTACACTTAAAGCTTTCTGTACAACAACTGAAATCCCCAGGCCATGTTTAATAGTAACTACAAATCGCAATCATCTTGAATATTATTCATACGTTCAAAATGTGATTAACAATTTGGCTCTTAAGTAATTGAAATGGCCTCAGGTCAACATTGAGCTGCCAAAACTCCCTCTGAAACTGAAAATGCGCATTTGTTGAATGTACAACAAATTATAGTTATTATTAATCAACTTATGTGCCAAACAATTACGTATAAATGCATAAATGCAGCTTTGAGTGCGCTTTTTGAGGAGCTGCGCCCTGAGCATACGAATAATTTATTAAAGTGCAGCACGTGTCCAGCCACTTGGCTATTAATGTCAAGTTCGCCATGTGAATTAGCTGGCAGAAGGCACAGATGACTGTGTGTGTGTGTGTGTGTGTGTGTGTGTGTGTGTGTAACAGTGGCTGCAAAAAGCAAATGCAAATTGTTTTTGCGTATACAATTTTAATAGCCCAAATTGCACAAGAAATGGCCAAGGCAGCGAGCGGGAGCTTGGGGCTGCCTTAATAAAGTGTTGCAACAACTAATAAGCGCCCACAAAGTGTGCCTGTATGCGTGTGTGTGTGTGCGTGTGTGTGTGAGTCAGTGACCCAGAATATAATGCAAAAGTAGTTTTCCTATGGCAAAATGAATCGACAGCAACTGGCGGCACATTGTAAATACATATTTCATTTTCATTAAAAACCAACAACAAGCACATTAGCAGCTGCTGTGTGTGTGTGTGTGTGTGTGTGTGTGTGCTTTATTAATTTAACTACAACTGTGTGCGTGCGTGTTTCTGTATCTGTATCTGTAATTGTGAGTATCTGCAGCTTGTATCTTTAACCTCTGACGCGCGCAAAGTTCGAGTGCGAGTGCAAAATAATTGACGAGCTGCTGCCTTTGCCTTTGCCTTTGCCTTTCTAGGTGTAGCTGCATGTTATTCAATTATATCAACTATATCAAATTAATTGAATTTCATTTATAGATTCTATACTATATCAGAAAGTTGCGGCAGCTATTTATAGTTTGATTATTTGTCACATTTTGTACACGTTGTCTCCGCTGTTTGGACAGAGAAAGAGGCTTGGATACAACAACTGTTTTTGGAGTCAAGTTTTGTGTGAACTGCAAATTAGCGAGTTTTTGTCAATTTGTGACACCCCTAGCTCAGACAAGTGCTCCAAATACTTAAACCAAAAGTTTCATACATTTATATTTAACATATGTCTACAAGATATTTTTGTTTATACTCTACAGGTGATCTGCTGTCGCATCCCACATTTAAGCCGCTCTGCAGCGCTCAGCACGAGCATTTCATTGAGAGCGATGGCAAAGAATCTAGTCTCATCATCGAACTGAAGCCGGGCAGCTATGGCGCCCAGCACGCCTCCTGTTCACGCATTTTGAGCGCACCGCCCAGCTACGGATTCATTGTGCGTCTCATTCTGCCCAAGCTGCGGCACACCCAGCACAGCACTGACAACACGCCCTCCAGCTCCAGCTCCAGCTCCAGTTCCAATATTATGCCCGCCACAGCTCAGCCGCAGAGCCAGGCCAGGCAGGGGCCGCAGTCGATGCCGAATGCAACAGCAGCTGCTGCGGCGAGCTCATCCGCTGTCATCGTGGGACGCACCTGTCCCTTGAATATCGTAAGTGAATAGATTGTAGGGTATTCGATTGAATGCGTGACCCCTTTTTCAAGCGAATTGATTAGTTTGTTGACAGTGTCAAGTGTGTGCAAAAGATCGAGCTGCGCATGTCGGAAGATAATATACATATATAGATGCCAACAGCTGAGATTATTATCATATAGCTTTGAAAGTGAATGCAGTTGTTTAGCTAAATAGTTTAAAATACAATTTAAATAGTTTTTACAGAATTATAAATTAATGTTGCAAGAGATCCGAGAATCCGAATTTTCTTATTATTCATATATTTTCGTGGCGCTTCTTTTTTACATTTTTAATGAATATGAAAGTTCTCGCAACATTTGATTAATATTTTATTTAATTTTATATTAGTCGAGTATTTGTAAGTCTTATAAATTTAAATTTACATTATTATTTGACTTTTTTATTTAATTAGATTTATTTGTATGGAACTAATTTATTAGCTTCCTATTATTTATTTATATTTCTCTAATCTAATTTTAATTTGATTTATTTGCCTCTTAATTTAATTCTTATTCAAATTGTTATTTCAATAGAATAATTTGGTTGGAATTCTATTTATTTGCATTTTGAATTAATAATTAATTTTTTTTAAATGCATTTCTTTATTTGTATTTAATTTAATTAATTTGCTTGGAATTTAATACTTATATATTTTACATTGTGTTTTTGTTTTTTTTTTTTTTTTTAGAATTGCAAACATTTAAAATAATTGTTGCTAACAAATTGTTGCTTGCTTTTGTTATAACAATCAAAGATAGTTTATTTGTTTGAGCCCCTCATTAGTATTCCAGCTACATTAGCCTGGCATATCACAGCGTAATGACTCGCATTTAAAGGGCCAAGTTCAATAACTTTAATCAAACCAGTTAACTGTTTACAACTTGGCTAAGCACTCGATCGGCAGCTATTCCATAAGTGCAGCCCATCATTATAAGTGCCATTAATACGTATTATTGTGATATGCGATGTGCGATCTGCGATCTGCGATCTGTGATCTGCTCTTCGCGTGCGAACTCTATATTCTCATTAAGAACAAAAGCTGCAAATTGTGACATATTCGCATTTAAGAAAACAACAAACAATAACAATATTTGCATATGCAGTTCGCTCAGGCGAACAAAGAAATCATTTATGCACTTTCAACAGATACATGTAGATACATGTAGTTGTACCTGCGCAGCGACAGCTACAGCTACAGATACATATGCAGATACAGATACAGATACAGATACAGATACAAGCAGCCGCACCCGCAACTTTGATATCCTCACATGCGTTTGCCCAGCTCGATTTTATGGCTCGAAGACTGTCCACGTTTCATAGCTGTCAATCTGTCTGTCAGTCGCTTCGTCTGCCCGTCCACCCGTCTGTCTGTCTGTCTGTCTGTCTGTCTGTCAGTTTGTCGCCGTCGTATTTATGGCAACGCAACGTCACAGCGGCAACTGAAAGTGTTGTCTATTTGTGCTGCGAATGTTGCGTTGCGTTGCGTCTCGTTTCGTTTTTCCTGGCCAAATGAGACAAACGTGTTTCAAATACAAACGAAAAAAGTGCTCAGAACTCGCGGCAAATGCCAAAATGGCTCGAATCGGGCGCGCTTATGCAAATCGCACGCGATTCGAATACATCTCTCGTTCACCACGCCCCCCCCCCCCCCCCCCCCCATGCCGCACACACGCGCCGGTAGCAAACACACATGCGGGCAAAGAGTTGATCCATAATTGGTTCAATGTCAGCTCGTGTTGCAGTCTTTGCTAAAAGTTTAAATAGAATACGTTAAATTGCCAGCAAAATTAACTGTAATTGGAGACAATTTCAAATGTCAAAATGCCCTGTGAAAACCGCAAAATAAGTCAAACATAACGTCCCGTCTCCGCTGTACACTCGCCCATTTATTCATAGACAATTAGACGAAAAACCGAAACAAAATTAACCACAAGTAATCGATGCTTGACCCTGGCATGCCACATGCCACATGCCACACACACACTCGCACAACAATTAAATCAAGTTTCGCGCAACTCGTAAACCTTCCGAATCCAGTCATAGGCTCGGCATAAATTAGAATTAAAGCTCAATAGTTCATAACTTGGTCTTTGCTTGTGTCATTTTGAGGCGAACTCAATGCTAAAATCAAACACAAAATCTCACACATTTACTTTTTCTTGTTTGTGTTTTTTTTTTTTGCTTGAGCTTGTCACGCATGCGCAGTCTGAGCAAGATAAGGTACACACACACACACCATTCATTCACATGAATCAAAGTCTAAATCTAAATCGTTGAAAAGCAAAAGGTGCTGAAATTGCCAAACTAACTCTAAAAGCATATGAAGCCTTGAAATGGAACATGTGCTACTTTAGTGTAAGAGGTAGTGTACAAATATATAGGGTATGCTGCTAGCTTGATTACTAACTTTGCTAACTTCCTAAAAGCATCTCTTGCCAGCTTACGCGTTGCCAGATGTGTGAAAGGCTTTTCTTTTCTAAAGTGTGGTCACACTCAGCGCAAAAGCTCAAATCAATAATCAATATTTATGGGATTGGCTGCCAGCTTGAAAGCTTTAATAATTTTTTCCTATCAGTTTTCTTAAGTAAATAATTTGCTGCTGGTAGCTTGCGCTTTCCACATTTATATGTGGCCACACTCTTCTAAGTTTTCCCAAAAGAATTGCTTTTAATGAGCGCAGGAATTCTTTGCTTTGCCCTGCTAACTTTGCCTAACATTCTTGATAGCTTTCGCGTTTGCAGATGTCCATAAAGTTGCTTCATTTTTGTAGAGTAGAGACAGCTAGCTTGATAGCTTTGCTGACTAAAAAGACGGCTTTATATTTTTAGCAATATGGTTACACTTTTGTAACTGTTTAGTGAGAAAATTCAAATAAATATTATATGTAGGCACTTTAATTGACATTTTGAAAGATTTAGCAGCTGCTTGAAACAAACAAATTCTTATTTTCTAACATTTTTCTAACTTTTCTAAGAAATAAATAATTTTTATAGGATAGTTTAACATAGCTTTGCTAACATTTACTTTACTTTGCTAGCTTGGGCGTTGCCAGATGTCAAAAAGTATTCACTTTCTATCTTTCAAGCGTGTGGACACACTCTTCTTTCTGCTTGGCAACAGATTTAATAAAATTAAATAAATATTTATTAAAGCTGCAGCAATTTTTAATTTCAAAGAATATTTGCATTGCTTAACAGCAAAACTCTGAAATATATTTGAACACGATATAAAAGCGCTTTGTGTCAATTAATTATATAGTATCTACGACTTTTGAATGGGTCTTCAAACAAAATGTTGCTTTTAACTTTGCATATTATATATGCATATATAATTATGAATAGCTGGAGAGTGCCCGGGTCCATAGCTATTATAGTACTCACGATTCGCATGTGCTACCTAAAATTGCCATTTATTTTTTTATTTTATTTTTTGTGCGCCGTATATAAATAAATGTTTCTGAGCGTAAATATTTAATTTGCCATTATTGTTGTTTCCCATGCCAAATATCCAAAATGTATTCACAGTTGATCGCCGATTTCTGATCGCAGCTCGTTTATTGTGCACGTTTTCAGCTTTGTTTAACTAAATAATTTATATCACGTCGTTTTTTTTTTTCTTCTACTTCTTTTGGCCTTTGTTTGTGGGCGTTAAAAGATTTGAGTGCTTTTTTGTGGCCAAATATTGGGTTCAGTTTTTTCAATTCATTTTTCTTTGCTTTTGTTGTTGCAGTTCAGCTCGTTGGATCCGCATACGGCGCAGTGGCGCGTGGATCCCTGCCAGCTGGAGGACACCGCATCCGAAATGGAGGATCCGGTGCGTTTGTTTCACGGCCGTGTGCGCATTGTCTGGGAGCATGGCCAGCATGCGCTGCGATCGAAGCTGATGATCACGGTGCTGGGCAAGGGCGAGCAGTGTAAGGACCAGAGCAAGCATCAGTGCCTCAAGATTGGGTGAGTCACAACTTCGTTTGTAAAGTCAATTTAATTAATCGAGCATCTCTCGTCAGCGATGAGCCCATCCTGTGCATATCCAAGGAGCTGGCCTGCGATGGCATACGCCATTGTCCCTACAGCAACGAGTACGACAGCGACGAGGACTACGAGCTCTGCTATAAGCAGCGACGTCCTGGCGCCGGCGCGCTGCCCTCCGCACTCGAATCCGATCTGTTCGAGCAGTTCGCCTTGGAGGTGTTTCGCAATCTGTTCGCCTACGATGCGCCCACATCGCCTGAGGATCTGCCGCGTAACGACAGCGCCGGCGACGCAGCAGCCGCAGCAGCTGGCAACAATTCGACAACGCAGCTACGCAAAGTGCACACCAAAGACATGAAGAAACCGGGCGAGGCGAATGGTTCGCCCAATGCCATTGGCGCGGACTCGTCCACGCCAGAGCTGGATGCGAAGGCGCAGGATAATGCCACCGTGGAGAACAACAATAGCAGCGGCAGCGGAGCTGGCAGCGGCTTTACGCGTCGCAACTCGACGCGCTCCGGCCTCCACTCGGATCTGTCCAAGTACGGACCGTGGGGCTATCTAATGCTCGGTATGCTGCTCTGCGGCGGCGCTCTGCTCATCTGCGGCCTCTGGGGTACGTTCAATTGCACACTTTTGTAGTCCAAAAGCAACACATAGACATTTATATTTATGTGAGTTTTTTGTTTTCGTTCATGCTCGTGTTTTCGTTTGCTTTTTTTGTTTTTGTTGTATTTGTTTTGTTTTTTTTTTTTTTTGTTTCTGTATTCTTACTTTGCGCATGCCATTCAACTATGTATCTGTATCCGCATCTATGTCTATGTCTAACTTTCGCAACTCTCGCCATTAACTGACGCATCCTCCCTGCCCCCCATCCGCCTGTCATCTGCCAACAGTTTCCTGTTGTCGCTTGAGCTCTCACATTCAATCCATACGTACACTTGCAGCATCCGCATCGCAGCACGCCGTCAACAATGAGCGCGAGGCAGCGCTGGCCGCCGCCAATGGCGCTGGCTTGGATCCCACCACAGCCACATCGCCGCCCAACTACGAGGAGCTGGATCCGCCGCCGGCCTACTCGGTGCTCTTTCCCAATCAAAAGGCCGCCAGCAGCAATACGCTCAATGCGCTCGATGGCGCCGTGGCCAGCACAACAGCAGCAGCAGCAGCAGCTGCTGCGGCTGCAGCAGCAATAGCAGCAGCAGCAACAACAACAAATGCGGCAGCAGCAGCAGAAGCAACAACTGCAGCAGCAGCAGCAGCAGAACAACAACAAGCCCAACAGCAAACAGGAGACGAGCCAACAAACTAGCTCTAAGCCTGACAATTAGGTCGCCACAACATGGCGCATCTGGCAAAGTAGTTTAGGTTTAGGTTCCAACTTCTTTGACTGACTCTGATGCAATTAGTTTAGCAAAACAATTTTTTAGTTCTAGCTCCTAAGCCTAACTCTATGTTTAATGTTTAATGATATAACTATGTAAAACTGGTCAAGCCGATCTGTCCCACAAAAAATCAGAAATCCGAAAACCTCCCGTGTTCGTCGTCATGCCAAGCATTGGCGACCGCACAATCCTACATTATATCCAATCCAAACGAATTGTTCAGTTGCCTGCAATGTGAAAATAAATACTTATACTATATAATAATACTTATCCTATGTAAAAAGCGATTGTAAGAAATGACAAATTATAACAATAACAACGACAAGTCGCATAATTTTTGTATCTTGGTTAATGTAAAATTTAATGTGATATAAATTTTAAATAAAATAATCAAAAATTAAGACCTGTCAATGTCCTAAGGTTAAGATATCGGCCATAGCTTGGTTATTCCAAAAATTAGTTTTAATTTAGTTATTTACAAATAACCTAACTTAAAGCTTCGCGCAACTTGTACATTTCCCTTAGAATCATATTGAATCCTGTCTCAAATGACTCGTTAGGATCAGGATCATCGATGGTTCCCAGATGACCTACATACCCTTGGTTTTACCATACCATTGATATAGTCCTGGTGAACCAACAGGTTCAAATACGAGCAAAATTTGCTCGTAAATGATCCACAAATGTATGCATTTCTTTCAGCTGTCTCCTAGTCCCTCTGTGATTCCTAGATGACCCACATATCCTTGGTCTTTCCATACCATTGATATAGTCCTGGTGAAGCTACAGTTCCAAATCCCGGCAAAATTCGCTCAAAAGATTTATCCACAATTAAATTGGGGTTTAAAAATTAACGGTCGCAAAATGCCATTGCCCTGGGCCCGGCCGTTGGCTCACATTTTTAAATCAAAATTCAGCTGAAATACCAGGCGAACATAAATGAGCAGCAGGTAGATGCCCAGAAATTTTTCGCAAAGGATGACTTGTAATTTTTTTATCAGCTCACTGTTAAGCAGCTGTTATTTAACATTTTACTGTTAAGTTGCTGTTTTTTTGTGTATGCAAAATTTCATTGCATACCCAAACGGGGCGTGCGGAGGAGCAGATGGGTGCTTAGATTTCACCGAAAATTCGGCTGACGAACCAGGCAAACAGAAATGCCCAGCAGGTAGACGAACTAAAATGTTAATGAATTAAAAATTGCATTGCATACCCTCAAGGCGCAATAAGGGGTACTGAAAGCAAAAAGCATACATATATCTGGACCGTTTCCGTGCGCATTTGCAGGAATTTGGTCCTTTAGGTTTACTAGGACTATATCAATGGTATGGTATGACCAAGGATATGTGGGTCCACTAGGTACCATCGAGGGTGGTGGTGCTGTTGCTGGTGGGGGTGGCTGAAAGAAAAGGCATGCATATTTGTTAACCATTTAGGCTATTTAGGTTCACCAGGACGTTATCTTTGGTATGGTAAAGCCAAGGATATATGGGTCATCTAGGAACCATAGGTTTTGAAATAGGTTTTGATTTTGGGTCATCTCGTAGAATTCGGATTTGAGTGGCAATCGATGATCGGCATCCGTACGAGTAGAAAGAGGTATATCATTCCGAAATCGGACTGTATTTAGTCGAGCTTGGGAGGAGATACTCGCGTAGGTGCGTAGAATCCACCAATATCAACGGAGGAGTTATGTCGCTTTAAAACGTCATATCTCCAAGATTTTTTAGAGCGGCGGAGCTATGTCGCTTCAAAACGACATAATCTCGCCATGATCGACGGCGAAGTTATGTCGCTTTGAAACGTCATATCTCCATGATTTTTTTAGATCGGCGGAGCTATGTCGCTTCAAAACGACATAATCTCGCCATGATCGACGGCGAAGTTATGTCGCTTTGAAACGTCATATCTCCATGAATTTTTAAGATCGGCGGAGCTATGTCGCTTCAAAACGACATAATCTCGCCATGATCAACGGCGAAGTTATGTCGCTTTGAAACGTCATATCTCCAAGATTTTTTAGAGCGGCGGAGCTATGTCGCTTCAAAACGACATAGCTCCATAGCCACACGATTTTTTTTGGAAAACTTTAAATGGTCATATCTCGGCCAAATAAAGCCCGATAGGGGCCAAAAAAGGGAGGGGCTACTCGGGGAGGTCCGTAGAATCCGCCATGATCGACGGCGAAGTTATGTCGCTTTGAAACGTCATATCTCCAAGATTTTTTTTAGAGCGGCGGAGCTATGTCGCTTCAAAACGACATAATCTCGCCCTGAATAACGGCGAAGTTATGTCGTATTGAAACGTCATATCTCCATGATTGTTTTAGATCGGCGGAGCTATGTCGCTTCAAAACGACATAATCTCGCCATGATCGACGGCGAAGTTATGTCGCTTTGAAACGTCATATCTCCATGAATTTTTAAGATCGGCGGAGCTATGTCGCTTCAAAACGACATAATCTCGCCATGATCAACGGCGAAGTTATGTCGCTTTGAAACGTCATATCTCCAAGATTTTTTAGAGCGGCGGAGCTATGTCGCTTCAAAACGACATAATCTCGCCCTGAATAACGGCGAAGTTATGTCGTATTGAAACGTCATATCTCCATGAATTTTTAAGATCGGCGGAGCTATGTCGCTTCAAAACGACATAATCTCGCCATGATCGACGGCGAAGTTATGTCGCTTTGAAACGTCATATCTCCATGATTTTTTTCGATAGGCGGAGCTATGTCGCTTCAAAACGACATAATCTCGCCTTGATCAACGGCGAAGTTGTGTCGCTTTGAAACGTCATATCTCCAAGATTTTTTAGAGCGGCGGAGCTATGTCGCTTCAAAACGACATAATCTCGCCATGATCGACGGCGAAGTTATGTCGCTTTGAAACGTCATATCTCCAAGATTTTTTAGAGCGGCGGAGCTATGTCGCTTCAAAACGACATAATCTCGCCATGATCGACGGCGAAGTTATGTCGCTTTGAAACGTCATATCTCCATGATTTTTTTAGATCGGCGGAGCTATGTCGCTTCAAAACGACATAATCTCGCCTTGATCAACGGCGAAGTTGTGTCGCTTTGAAACGTCATATCTCCAAGATTTTTTAGAGCGGCGGAGCTATGTCGCTTCAAAACGACATAATCTCGCCATGATCAACGGCGAAGTTGTGTCGCTTTGAAACGTCATATCTCCAAGATTTTTTAGAGCGGCGGAGCTATGTCGCTTCAAAACGACATAATCTCGCCATGATCAACGGCGAAGTTGTGTCGCTTTGAAACGTCATATCTCCAAGATTTTTTAGAGCGGCGGAGCTATGTCGCTTCAAAACGACATAATCTCGCCATGATCAACGGCGAAGTTATGTCGCTTTGAAACGTCATATCTCCAAGATTTTTTAGAGCGGCGGAGCTATGTCGCTTCAAAACGACATAATCTCGCCCTGAATAACGGCGAAGTTATGTCGTATTGAAACGTCATATCTCCATGATTGTTTTAGATCGGCGGAGCTATGTCGCTTCAAAACGACATAATCTCGCCTTGATCAACGGCGAAGTTATGTCGCTTTGAAACGTCATATCTCCAAGATTTTTTAGAGCGGCGGAGCTATGTCGCTTCAAAACGACATAATCTCGCCATGATCGACGGCGAAATTATGTCGCTTTGAAACGTCATATCTCCATGATTTTTTTAGATCGGCGGAGCTATGTCGCTTCAAAACGACATAATCTCGCCATGATCGACGGCGAAGTTAAGTCGCTTTAAAACGACATAATCTCGCCATGATCGACGGCGAAGTTAAGTCGCTTTAAAACGTCATATCTCCATGATTTTTTTAGATCGGCGGAGCTATGTCGCTTTAAAACGACATAACTTCGCCGTCGATCTTGGCGGATTCAAAGTTGCTGCCACGTGCTTATTGTAAAGGGCTAATTTTATGCGCGCCCCAAGAGTATGCAGTAAAACTGTTATTCTAATAGGCTCAAGCATATTATGCGGACAGCTCGAAAGTATGCAATGCTTTCTTTTACTAATATGTCCACAACCACACGCACGTTTTTGGAAAACTTTAAATGGTCATATCTCGGCCAAATAAAGCCCGATAGGGGCCAAAAAGGGAGGGGCTACTCGGGGAGGTCCGTAGAATCCGCCAAGATCGACGGTGAAGTTATGTCGCTTTGAAACGTTATATCTCCATGATATTTTTAGATCGGCGGAGCTGTGTCGCTTCAAAACGACATAATCTCGCCAAGATCAACGGCGAAGTTATGTCGCTTTGAAACGTCATATCTCCATGATTTTTTTAGATCGGCGGAGCTATGTCGCTTCAAAACGCCTTAATCTCGCCTTGATCAACGGCGAAGTTATGTCGCTTTGAAACGTCATATCTCCAAGATTTTTTAGAGCGGCGGAGCTATGTCGCTTCAAAACGACATAATCTCGCCATGATCGACGGCGAAGTTATGTCGCTTTGAAACGTCATATCTCCATGATTTTTTAGATCGGCGGAGCTATGTCGCTTCAAAACGACATAATCTCGCCATGATCGACGGCGAAGTTAAGTCGCTTTAAAACGTCATATCTCCAAGATTTTTTTAGATCGGCGGAGCTATGTCGCTTCAAAACGACATAATCTCGCCATGATCGACGGCGAAGTTATGTCGTCTTGAAACTTCATATCTCCAAGATTTTTTAGAGCGGCGGAGCTATGTCGCTTCAAAACGACATAATCTCGCCATGATCGACGGCGAAGTTAAGTCGCTTTAAAACGTCATATCTCCATGATTTTTTTAGATCGGCGGAGCTATGTCGCTTTAAAACGACATAACTTCGCCGTCGATCTTGGCGGATTCAAAGTTGCTGCCACGTGCTTATTGTAAAGGGCTAATTTTATGCGCGCCCCAAGAGTATGCAGTAAAACTGTTATTCTAATAGGCTCAAGCATATTATGCGGACAGCTCGAAAGTATGCAATGCTTTCTTTTACTAATATGTCCACAACCACACGCACGTTTTTGGAAAACTTTAAATGGTCATATCTCGGCCAAATAAAGCCCGATAGGGGCCAAAAAGGGAGGGGCTACTCGGGGAGGTCCGTAGAATCCGCCAAGATCGACGGCGAAGTTATGTCGCTTTGAAACGTCATATCTCCAAGATTTTTTAGAGCGGCGGAGCTATGTCGCTTCAAAACGACATAATCTCGCCATGATCGACGGCGAAGTTAAGTCGCTTTAAAACGTCATATCTCCAAGATTTTTTTAGATCGGCGGAGCTATGTCGCTTCAAAACGACATAATCTCGCCATGATCGACGGCGAAGTTATGTCGCTTTGAAACGTCATATCTCCATGATTTTTTTAGATCGGCGGAGCTATGTCGCTTTAAAACGACATAATCTCGCCATGATCGACGGCGAAGTTATGTCGTCTTGAAACTTCATATCTCCAAGATTTTTTAGAGCGGCGGAGCTATGTCGCTTCAAAACGACATAACTTCGCCGTCGATTTTGGCGGATTCAAAGTTGCTGCCACGTGCTTATTGTAAAGGGCTAATTTTATGCGCGCCCCAAGAGTATGCAGTAAAACTGTTATTCTAATAGGCTCAAGCATATTATGCGGACAGCTCGAAAGTATGCAATGCTTTCTTTTACTAATATGTCCACAACCACACGCACGTTTTTGGAAAACTTTAAATGGTCATATCTCGGCCAAATAAAGCCCGATAGGGGCCAAAAAGGGAGGGGCTACTCGGGGAGGTCCGTAGAATCCGCCAAGATCGACGGTGAAGTTATGTCGCTTTGAAACGTTATATCTCCATGATTTTTTTAGATCTGTGGAGCTATGTCGCTTCAAAACGACATAATCTCGCCATGATCAACGGCGAAGTTATGTCGCTTTAAAACGTCATATCTCCAAGATTTTTTTAGATCGGCGGAGCTATGTCGCTTCAAAACGACATAATCTCGCCATGATCGACGGCGAAGTTATGTCGCTTTGAAACGTCATATCTCCATGATTTTTTAAGATCGGCGGAGCTATGTCGCTTCAAAACGACATAATCTCGCCATGATCAACGGCGAAGTTATGTCGCTTTGAAACGTCATATCTCCATGATTTTTTTCGATAGGCGGAGCTATGTATCTTCAAAACGACACACGATTTTTTTTGGAAAACTTTAAATGGTCATATCTCGGCCAAATAAAGCCCGATAGGGGCCAAAAAGGGAGGGGCTACTCGGGGAGGTCCGTAGAATCCGCCAAGATCGACGGCGAAGTTATGTCGCTTTGAAACGTCATATCTCCATGATTTTTTTAGATAGGCGGAGCTATGTCGCTTCAAAACGACATAATCTCGCCATGATCAACGGCGAAGTTATGTCGCTTTGAAACGTCATATCTCCATGAATTTTTAAGAGCGGCGGAGCTATGTCGCTTCAAAACGACATAATCTCGCCATGATCAACGGCGAAGTTATGTCGCTTTGAAACGTCATATCTCCATGATTTTTTTCGATAGGCGGAGCTATGTCGCTTCAAAACGACACACGATTTTTTTTGGAAAACTTTAAATGGTCATATCTCGGCCAAATAAAGCCCGATAGGGGCCAAAAAGGGAGGGGCTACTCGGGGAGGTCCGTAGAATCCGCCAAGATCGACGGCGAAGTTATGTCGCTTTGAAACGTCATATCTCCAAGATTTTTTAGAGCGGCGGAGCTATGTCGCTTCAAAACGACATAATCTCGCCATGATCGACGGCGAAGTTAAGTCGCTTTAAAACGTCATATCTCCAAGATTTTTTTAGATCGGCGGAGCTATGTCGCTTCAAAACGACATAATCTCGCCATGATCGACGGCGAAGTTATGTCGCTTTGAAACGTCATATCTCCATGATTTTTTTAGATCGGCGGAGCTATGTCGCTTTAAAACGACATAATCTCGCCATGATCGACGGTGAAGTTATGTCGTTTTGAAACTTCATATCTCCAAGATTTTTTAGAGCGGCGGAGCTATGTCGCTTCAAAACGACATAACTTCGCCGTCGATCTTGGCGGATTCAAAGTTGCTGCCACGTGCTTATTGTAAAGGGCTAATTTTATGCGCGCCCCAAGAGTATGCAGTAAAACTGTTATTCTAATAGGCTCAAGCATATTATGCGGACAGCTCGAAAGTATGCAATGCTTTCTTTTACTAATATGTCCACAACCACACGCACGTTTTTGGAAAACTTTAAATGGTCATATCTCGGCCAAATAAAGCCCGATAGGGGCCAAAAAGGGAGGGGCTACTCGGAGAGGTCCGTAGAATCCGCCAAGATCGACGGCGAAGTTATGTCGCTTTGAAACGTCATATCCCCATGATTTTTTTAGATCGGCGGAGCTATGTCGCTTCAAAACGACATAATCTCGCCATGATCGACGGCGAAGTTATGTCGCTTTGAAACGTCATATCTCCATGATTGTTTTAGATCGGCGGAGCTATGTCGCTTCAAAACGACATAACTCCATAACCACACGAATTTTGTTGGAAAACTTTAAATGGTCATATCTCGGCCAAATAAAGCCCGATAGAGGGCAGATTGGGAGGGGCTACTCACGGATGGCCATAGAATCGAATGACATCAACGTTTTTCGATTTCAGAAAAATGTCATTTTTCGAAAAAAACATGAGATGCCAGTCGATAGCAGAGATCAGCACGAGTTCAAAAAGGTCTATCTTTCGAAAATCTGCCAAATCATGGCAAAAAAACGAAAAAACTTCAAAATTATAATGGCATATTTTCGATTTTTTTAAATGGTCGTATCTTAGCTAAATAAAGTCTGATCTTGGAAAGACTCTCGACTCTTGGTCAAGTCCAGTTTTAACTAGAATCATCATACATCGTCGTACACTGTATTTTCGATCATTTTGGGTAATCTCTTAGAATGCGGATTTTTAGATGACAATCGATGGTCGGCATCCGTACGAGTAGAAAGAGGTATATCATTCCGAAATCGGACTATATTTAGTCGAGCTTGGGAGGAGATACTCGCGTAGGTGCGTACAATCCACCAATATCAACGGAGGAGTTATGTCGCTTTAAAACGTCATATCTCCAAGATTTTTTAGAGCGGCGGAGCTATGTCGCTTCAAAACGACATAATCTCGCCATGATCGACGGCGAAGTTATGTCGCTTTGAAACGTCATATCTCCATGATTTTTTTAGATCGACGGAGCTATGTCGCTTCAAAACGACATAATCTCGCCTTGATCAACGGCGAAGTTATGTCGCTTTGAAACGTCATATCTCCATGATTTTTTTAGATCGGCGGAGCTATGTCGCTTCAAAACGACATAATCTCGCCCTGAATAACGGCGAAGTTATGTCGCTTTGAAACGTCATATCTCCATGATTTTTTTCGATAGGCGGAGCTATGTCGCTTCAAAACGACACACGATTTTTTTTGGAAAACTTTAAATGGTCATATCTCGGCCAAATAAAGCCCGATAGGGGCCAAAAAGGGAGGGGCTACTCGGGGAGGTCCGTAGAATCCGCCATGATCGACGGCGAAGTTATGTCGCTTTGAAACGTCATATCTCCAAGATTTTTTTAGAGCGGCGGAGCTATGTCGCTTCAAAACGACATAACTCCATAACCACACGATTTTTTTTTGGAAAACTTTAAATGGTCATATCTCGGCCAAATAAAGCCCGATAGGGGCCACAAAGGGAGGGGCTACTCGGGGAGGTCCGTAGAATCCGCCAAGATCGACGGCGAAGTTATGTCGCTTTGAAACGTCATATCTCCAAGATTTTTTTTAGAGCGGCGGAGCTATGTCGCTTCAAAACGACATAACTCCATAACCACACGATTTTTTTTGGAAAACTTTAAATGGTCATATCTCGGCCAAATAAAGCCCGATAGGGGCCACAAAGGGAGGGGCTACTCGGGGAGGTCCGTAGAATCCGCCAAGATCGACGGCGAAGTTATGTCGCTTTGAAACGTCATATCTCCAAGATTTTTTAGAGCGGCGGAGCTATGTCGCTTCAAAACGACATAACTCCATAACCACACGATTTTTTTTTTGAAAACTTTAAATGGTCATATCTCTGACAAATGCGGTCAGAAAGGGAGGGTTAAGTCGTGGATGTCCTTATAATAGACTGGCATCGAATTTTTGTGATCTCACAACAAAGTCACTGCTTACAATAAACTTCAAATTTGTGGGTATATTGTGAACAAAGTAATATGTTTTCAAATAAATAGGAATATCAGTTTTTCAACTAGGCAACAATACAGATACAAATATATGTTAAGTACTCCACAATAAAAGTCAGTTGGAATTTATACATCGAATTGTAACATCTTTGTTTTTATTCAGGTAAATTAAAGGATGTGTGTGAGTTGTGTGGGGATAGCTACAAACAGCTGGAATAAGGCTCGAAGAAAGGCAGCTGAATGAAGGAGGATCAGGGGGTGAGCAGGGTTAATTTTCACATATAATTTGCATTTAGTGCTAAATGAGTTTTGTTTTATTTTGTTTTATGTTGTTGGATTTGCTTGATTTTAGTTTTTTACGCTTTTGTCGCTCTAGATGCGTTTAATTGTTAAATGGTTTTTGCTTAGCTTTGTTTTTAGTTCCTGTTGATATATGTTAGTTGCACTCTGATATCTTTGCCGGGTTTCCTTATGGTATACACATGTATATGTATCGTATTTTTTTTTTGTTTTGTTTGGTTTTATTTGTTAAGTTGTATATTTGCTACAAATAGTTCTATGTTTGCCATTTTGGGTGTGTCCATTCAGAATAGCTATTTGGGAAACTACACCAAATACTTTAGACTGCATTAACATTCATTCTCGATCGTAATCGTAATCGTAACTTTAACAATATTATACACTTAACAAAATGAAGCATTAAGTTGACAGCCCAAAAACAACTGAGTTCATCAGGTTTCTTGTTGGGTCTTCATTTGACTACATTCAGTAAGCCGGGCTGCTAGAATATAATTTGCTATTATTATAGTTAAATTGTTTTCGATTTATTTATCGTTATTTCTATACTTTACTTAATTGCCAATTTCAGCATTTCACGTAACTCGTTTAGCGAAAAGCAAACATTTCGTTTGCATATTTTAGGTTGACTTCTATTTTACTTGCTCATCTTCAACTATTTCATTTAAATTACATACTCATAAGATTTGGGCGTTTTCATGTTCATCGACTGCATTCATTTTACATTTGTCTTAACTCCTAAAATGATCATAGAACTATACATACACATATATACTATATATTTCAAATATAATGCTCACTAAACATTTGCTAAAGATTGTATAATTAAATGGGTGCTCGATGTGTTTAGTGTTTGTTTGGTGCAGCAAATATTTATGTATCTGTTGTTCTTCTTCTTCTTCTTCTTGTTCTGTTGTTGCTGTTGGCATAGAAAAACCGCAGACTTATTGACTAATAGGCCATAGGGGTACACTTAGAATAATACTCGGTCGTACAGTTAGTGCTTAGAGTAGTTCAACAGCAATATGTGTTTAGAAAACGATGTCTAATAAAATGTTTCTAGTATTTGTTTCTCGTTCGATTTATCCTTTTTCAAAAGTCATTAAAAATAAATTCAAATTCAAAAGTTATTGCACAATTGAACGTGCTAAAGGTGTTTGCATTTCCTTTTTTTTTGTTTGCAATCGCTTAAAATTATGCACTACAAATACGATGCTCTCGTTACTCGTTACTGCTTACTCGCTACTCGTTACTTTCTCTAGCGCCTACGATTTAGTTAATACTTATTTATTCGCATGTAAAATTGGACGCCAAAACAATTAACAAAATTAACGCAAAGCCTTACAAATATTTTGAATAAATGTAATTAATTCTCAAGTGCGCTCAAAAGTTGTACGCAAATAAATTCATATATTAAGTGCAAATGTGTGAGTTTTCTGCCTGTCCGTGTGTCTCTGTGTGTGTGTGTGTGTGTGGCTATGTGTATTTGTCTGCTGTGTGTGTGTGTGTGTGTCTGTGAGAATTCAGCACATTTGTTAATGTAGTATTCGGTTTGTTTCTTTGTTTCTTCGACAATAAATAAGGCCAGTGGATACGCATACATCATAAAAGTACAATCATAATAATATTCATATACTAAGTAGTGTTCATCTTATATACATACGATCTCTAGTGGTTGGTTTGTTCTTATTCTTGTGTTGTTGTTGTTGTTGTAAAAGCGGACACATACAAACACCTGCCGTATGCATGTGTTGTATTTTGTATAAGACTAAGTTCTGTCAATGCCTAGAAGCCGCAACTTATAGAGTCAAGCCTTATAAATGTTCCACTATCGAATTTCTCTTCTCAAATTTTGTTTTTTTTTTCTTGTCGCTTGTAAGTAGGTTTTAGTTTTTTTTTATCTTTAGTTATATTTTTTTGTTCTTAACATCGGTTATGCTTAGTTTGCTTTCAAAGTTGTTGGTATAAAAAATAGAAAAAATTTCGTGGCAATAAAAACGTTTTGTCTCAAATCATCATCAAATGTTTATCAAGATATTCTCAAATAGTTGTAGTAATAAATTCTGCTTAGCTGCTACAAGGGTATTACAGGGTATACAATATGCGTTCGCTTTCAACACTAAATACAATGTGAAACACGGATATGAATGACTTAATCTTCTATCATATATAAGTATAAGTACCATATATACATAAGTGTATATATGTATATATATGTATATATAGAATACGCTGCTGATTGCTTAAAAGTTGCTCGAAAAATTAGTGTTGCATACATATACCATGTATGCCTGTATGTATCTATATTAACTACATGCGGCGATTTCTCAAGCGATTAAAAAGCACATTTCTTTATATGTGTAAGTGTGTATTGTGTGTGTATTTGAATGTGTGTATCTGCGTATGTCAAAGTCAAAGCTGAGCTGCTGGCAGCTAATTCTTAATCCGGTTTCAAGACTTATAATAACTACTCGTTACTTGTTACTCTTTACTTTCAACTGATTAGTTTTAGCTCATTACTGATTACTCGTTAGTTCTAACTCGTTACTAATTACTCGTTAGTTGCATTTCGTTACTGAATACTTGTCATTTCTAACTCGTTACTCGATACTTGCTACTTATTTCTCGTTAGTTCTAGCTCGTTACATTTTGGTTCAACTCGATCCCGGTAAGTTGTAACGCGTTACACTTGATACTTGTTCCTTTCCACTTGTTACTTACTAGTTATAATTCCTCAAATTTTACTCGTCAATCTAACTCGTCACTTGTTACTTGTTAATTCTAACTCGATACTGATTGCTTGTTATTTTTAACTCGTTATGATTAATCATTAGTTCTAACTCGGTACTTGATACTCTTAAGTTTCAACTTGTTACTGGCTCTTCGTTTGCTCTAACGCGCTACTTTCCACTCGTTACTTCATTATTTCTTACTCGGAGCAGGTTACTCGTTAGTTCTAACTTCTTTCTTTTTACACGTTAAATCTTCTCGTTATTCTTAAAGCTTACGATTTCTGTTGCATGTAGAAGACGTGTCCCTTGTGGTGCTGTCGTTCTTTTATTTTTCCAATGGTATGGCGCAGTTGTTGTTGTTGGTGAATGGTGTTTGTTGTTGTCGTTGTTGTTGTTGTTTTTATCGCTTGTTGTTGGCTGTGAAAATTGTGTCAGACAAACGTTGAGATGATGCTTCAATGCTCCCTTCCTCAAAGCCGTCAACCGCAAGCGCTCCAGGACTGGCATTGGGGCAAGTCAAGTCTGGCGGGGGAGGGGGGCCAATTTGTGCGTTTGGGTCTTAGATTCTTTGTTCTTGTTGCTTATCGAGCGAGTGAGTCTTTTGGTTTTTGTTCTTGTTGTTGAGTCTCGGCAGTCGCTGTGAGCATAACTAACAATAATTACCATTACCATACCACGGAAAGGTCCAGCACCATCAGTGCGGAAGCATCAAAGGTCGCGCCGTGCTGGTCAGCCTGTGGTGCGACTTGTCGCCACCGCCGCCATACTCATCGTACGCCAGCAGCGGCGAGATCTTGAGCCCGGTCTTCTCGGGTATGATCTTGAAGTGCGGCTGATCGGCGCTGATCAGCAGCGGTCGCTTCATGGACGAGTGCAGATACTCGTGTCCATGTGGCATATTGCTGGCGGCGGCGCCCAGGGGTCGCCTTGTGCTCGGCACATTCATCTTCTTGCACGGCTCCGGCTTGCTCTCGTAGTTCAGCTGACAGTTCTCGGGTGAATATTTGTTCGGCTTGTATATGGAGAAGATGTTGTTGATCAGACTCAAGGCGGAATGGCCGCCGGCGGAGGCGTGATGTATGCCCGCCGTTGGCTGCTGGGTGAGCACGCTGCCGCCCAGCGTCGTGTGCTCCGGATAAAAGTTGTTGTACTGATACGAGGGCAGCGTATCCGCTGTCGGATACACCTTATGCCCATAGCCATAGGCCGGAGCTGGAGCCGGTGCCGGTGGCGCTGCGCCGCCCAAATGACGTGCCTGATGATGGTGGAGCGCTGGACCGGCGGGATTCTCAAAAAAATTAAAGGCCGCCCCATTATTGGAGGAGCCGCTCGAGTCCAACTGCGGCGGCGACGGCATTCCCTCCAGCAGCGATTTCTTGATCATCAGCCGCTCGTGCTCCCGGTCATGCATATCGATGGGCTGTCCATTGTTATAGCAGCGCACGTTGACATTCTTGACCTTCAGATTGCTGTGCATGTTGCGCCGCATGTCCATGTTGATGGGGCTGGGCGGCTTGTCTAGCTGCTCCCAATACTTCTCCAGATCAATGTTGAAATCCTCCAGATCGATCTCTGTCGTATCGGAGCAGCTGTCCTCGTCGAACAGACTGGGCGGCTGCACCTCCAGCAGGGATTTGCTGCGCGTGGGCCGCGGATAGTGGGCATAGCGGCGACTGGGACTGGCGGCCATCTGGCACTGGGCCAAATAGCGTTCGTCCTCGTCGAGGAATTTGTCCTGCAGCAGCAGACGCTCGCGCTCGGCGCGTATAAACTGCTCCAGATCGGTGTCGTAGCGACAGTGCATGTGCTCCTCCTCCTCAGCGGCCGGATGATGGCCGGGACAGTGCGGTGTGCGCCTTGTCGCACGGTGCTGTGGCTGGCGATGGCAGCAATAGTCCTCCGAGGCACAGCAACAGATCACGGTGGTTGCGGGCAAACGCTGCTGGCCACGCCCCAGCCGATGATCCGCCTCTGCGCGCTCCTCAAACAGCCAGTCCGCGGGCGAGCGCAGACTGCGATTCAGATTCAGATTCCTGTTGCTGCCAGCGCCGGCTGCGGCGCCATAGACATCGCCCAGCCGGCTCCTCGAGCCGGCATAAATATCATCCAGCAGGCACTTGGCACTGGTGCACTGCTCCCGAGCACAGCAACTATGCGCCAGGGCGCGCTCATCCAAGCTGTTGCTATAGAGCATATTCATGGTGCGTCTGTATGCCTCGCGCTTCTCGCGTCGCGTATTCGAGGCGGGCGGCAGCTCGTAGTCAATGATGTCAAACGGCATTGTCTTGGTGGACGCGCTGAACGAATACGATTTGGGCACGCCGGCGCGATTCTTCAGTATGGAGGTGGTGGGCCCGGTTCCTGCTCCGGTCCCGGAGCCTGGGCCGCCCGACTCATAGACGTTTCCCTCGAAGCAGCAGCTCTGCGATTTGGGATATTGGAACTCCTTGCAGCTCTTGGATCGCTGCAGTCCGTAGCCGGGCGAGCCTTCGCCCTCGCCGCGACGCTCACGCATGGGCAGCCCTTCGTCCGCGTATTTCTCGTCCTGTTCGCGTATGTCTCGCAGAATGCGATTGCTATAGCTGCCATACTTCAGGCAATCGGGCACATAATCCTCGTCCAAATCGTCGGAACGATTTGAGTAGATGTTGTCCGTATACCAGGTGGGGTCCAACTGCTTGGGCTTTGGCTTGGCCAGCAGCAGTTTGTCCCGCTTCGACTGGCGATAGCTCTCGAAACAGATGTTCTTCATCTTCTCCAGTTTTTGCTCCCTGATGCGCTCCCAGTTCTCCCAGTTCTTGTCGTTCTTATTGCGCCCGGAGAGTATGAGTACATCCCTGTCTTTGTCCCAGGTGAAGCCAGCATCGGCATCGCTGTACTCGATGTTCAGGCGCTTCGTCTCCCGGCTGGGCGATGTCTGCGCTTGCGACTGCGAATGTGTGTGTGTGTGACTGTGTGTGTGTGTGTGGGTAACGGGCATTGAGCTGCTATTGGCTAAATTGTTATTATCGGTAACTACAATTCTAATTCTACGCTTGGTCTTGTCGCCCGCTCCGGATCCGGCTCCGGCGGCACGCGACGTTTGCATTGATGATTTTGCTGGCGGCTCTTCCTCTTCTGGCTGTCACACCTCCTGCAGATACTTGATGGGACAATAGCCCTGACGATTGTCCGCCGAACGCACCATAACCATGCCGTTTACCTCATCGCCAGTCTGCATTCGAGGAATATATTTACATATACAAATGGAGGGTTAGAGAAAGGGTAGCCTCTCCTGCTCTTTATGGCTTCCATATATTTCTACTATTTAGTTGCCTACCTGTATGACAATCTGGTCGCGGAGGAGCGTCATGTTCTCGCCGCGCTCCCCATCGGAGACTTGGAGATTGTGCGTCACCTGGAGCGGCTTCTCGTTGGCATTGAGTCGCACACAATACTTGGATGGAAAGAAACCAACGCGTCCCAGCACTTTGCCCTTCCACCAGTCCGGATCGGAGGTATCGATGACTGTCACCTGTCGATTGAACAGTTGTGTGTGTGTGTGTGTGTTAAGCAACAGCCATTAACCAGCTACTTGTCCTTGTCAGGACAATGGCAATATAAAAAACAAGTAGAAAACAAAATAAGAACAATAGCTGCAGCTTGGCTAATGCATATGTAAATATCTCGCACAATATGCCAGTGGCCATGGGGGCGTATGCGCAATCCCAATGCCAATCAGAATGTGTACACAAGCCCCACCTTGCCCCTTAACTACTATTATTGCAATTTTTTCTATATACTACTTCTTTCTTTTTTTTCTGTTAGTTCTTATTTTCCATTTGCTTGGCTTTGTGTACATAATAAAAATGCGCTGTGTACATTATAAATGAACCAGTTGTGCGTTTGTTTTTTTGTTTTTGTTTTTGCTCATATCGAATATATTGCTATACATTCATGCATACAAACACATATGTCCATAGACAAACATATTTATTTGTATATGTGTATAATTGTGTGTGTGTGTGTGTGTGGATGTGTTTTGTCCAAGCAATTTCCTGCGCTGCCATTGTCCTGCTTTATGTGTGCGATAAACTCATAGTTTAGCGGATTAAACAAAGCGCTTTACTTATTTATTCACTGCATGCAAAAATATGTGCAGAGAATATTAATACTCCGCAAGCCGAGACTACAGGGTATACAAAATTATATGACTCACAAATCTGCAGCTGCACTTGACTTTCTATAACACAATTTAACTCAAGCGTCTCACATGATTAAAATTTTGAATAATTGTGTATATTCACATATTTAATTTAAGTATTTGAGTACCCATCCAATAATGTACCCTCGACTAACTGTAAGTTGTACTGAAATATAGCTCACCTTGTAGCCGGCCTTGAGGTCCAGTTCGTCGGCATGCCGCGCCTTAAAGTTGTAGAGTATGACATACAAATTGGTGGGCAGCAGACGATGTGATTTCTTGAAATTGGAAAAACATTAGAGCGTGCTAATAAACAACATGGCAGGCAGAGATTGTCAAGAGAGAGAGAGAGGGAGCGAGAAAAATAAATAGTGAGAGAGAGAGAGAGAAAAACAAAAAAAAAAAACGAAAGTGGGAGGTAAACGGAAATGGGGGGAATACCTGGGCATGTCTTACAGGTGATAGGCAAGGCGATGTGCTGGCCGAGGATTGCGATTTCTCCATTTCATCGGGCAAATCGACGCTGCCGCCGCGCATGCCGCGCGTGGCATACAGAAGCTTGCGACCCGGATGCGAGGGGCTCGATGGCGCTGTAATGGATATGGTTATGCGAGAAAAGAGCAGAAGATGAGAGGGAGAAGAAGAGCAGAAGAAAGGCAGCGTTAATGGCCAACAGCGATGGCAGCAAAGACATGCAACAACACACACACACGCACACAGAGACTGACTCTCAATGTGGTTGTCAGGTTAATTAAATGCACGCATGATAGAAAGAATAACAAGAAACAGATACAAGTGGCAAGTTAAAGATACAAATACAGTTAAAGATAAAGATACTGATACAGATACAGATATAGATATAGATACAAAGCGATAAATGAGGAAATTATATAGGCTGTTCGTGTGTGCTTCAACAATCAAATCGAGCCGTTAACTTTGCAGCTGGGCGATAAATTCAAATGAAGCCTTAAGTTGAAAATATTCAAGAGCTACTTTTTGTTTTTACAAAGATGATGTTGTATATGACTGTCGAGTGAAGTGGAGCTGAATGGAACACGGTTTACTTTTCGTCAATTTCTACAACTTTCAGCTAGTGCTACAAGAAAAACAAACAAAAAAAAAGTATTATAACAAGCTAAAAAAAAGGAGAGAACTACATCAAAGTTTGAGGCGTGTTTACAAATAAAGCAATTATTGTTAATTGTACTATATTAATTCTGCAAATTCATATGTTCCATTTGTAGTGTTTATCGCTCGTTGTACAAGAAGTTTGTTTTGTTTAGTTTTCGAAAGGCTTTCGAGTCAAGAATTAGAATCAGAGTTAAGAGCAGTTAAGAGTTCTAGTTGAAGCCCAAAGAACGGGAGATCCAGTTAAGTGGATATCGATTGATTGATTTAAATTAGCTGAAGTTAATTATTAATAGATATATTTTTATATTTTGGTGGTTGGTTGGTTAGGTTTGGTGCAACTCCGTTCGGTATGGAGACGTTGGTGACGGGAGCGGGAATTGTGGTTAGCTACTTACAGTGCAGCCGGCTGTTGTTCGATGGGGGAGTACTGTGCTCCAGATGCCCTCCCGAGCCGCCATGATAGTAGCCGCTTGATGTCGAGGCGGCCGTTGCCGGCAGATGCTGGCGGCGCCTAAACTGACCGTGCAGTTCCGAGGATTCGGGTGAGTCCAAGCTCAACGATTTCATGCGTAAGTTCAATTTTTGCCGGCGCGGTGAGTGCGGTGCTGTTGTTGTTGTTGTTGTTGTTATTGTTGATGTTGTTGTTGTTGATGTTGTTGTCGCGGGTGTGATGGTGTTTTTGGTTATTTGGATCGATCATTGGATCATGATCATTTTTAGACAATAACGCGACAGACACAACATGATTTTTGGTTTGGTTTTCGGTTTTCATACGAAAAAAGCGATAAAATGTATAAAAAAAGTTTGCAATTTAATTTCGTTTTGTTCAGAATTTCGTATACTATATGCGTCTATATGCAGCTACAGCTCTAGGAAAAATAACCAAAAAACCATAATAACTAAACAAATAGTATACATATATATATATATATGAATAAATATATATATATATATATATATATATATATAAATATTTTCAAACAAATTTAGTTTGTATTCATTTTAAGCTAGAACTGAAATTGAAAATTAAAACAATAGGACACAGATTAAAGAAAGAGTATATTTGCAACAGAGCAACATTCAACACGTTTATAGAGACAGCAAAGTGTATCTGGTGTATTTTGTGTGTTTTTTTTCTAGGCGCCCCGTGCCAGCTGCCGTTTATATTAAAAAGTTCATTGCGTGTAGTTCAGTGTAGTTCTTTGGCATTATTATTATTATTATTAAAGTGAATACAAATAGATATTGGACGAGTCAAAAAGACAAATAGTTGGAGAGCATTCGTAAAAGTTTTCTGTTTGCTGAACGATTCTCTTGACTCAAAAAAAATTCTGAATTTACTCTGAATTTCGGTTTTATTTTGTTTTCTTTTTGTTTTGATGGTATTTACAACAATCATATAGTACGTACAAGCATATTGTGTGAGGTGCATCAATAAATTACTAAAATACTTTAAAATACATTTAAATATGTAGCTAATTACCGAAAGAAAAAAGCAAAAACACACACACACACTCACATGCCACTTGTTTGATTTGAATATTAACTAATTTATACAATAATATTGATTATTTTAGTTTTAGTTGAGTATTTTATAATAATTACTGTGCTGCATGTTTTAAATATTTCATTAAAAAAAAACTAATTATAATGCTAAACTTTATAAGGCTTTCAGTGCTAAATAATAATAGAAGATAACAAGATCAAAGATTTGGGTAAAACTTATGGCATCAAATTAAAATTAAAATAAATTAAAAGTAAAATCCAATCTAGATTTTTATGTCGGCTTGTCGCAGTTTGAATTCAATTTCAATTTCGATTTTAATTCAAACGCACGCGTCGTTTGGTCTTGGACTCATCGTGACTGGGCTCGGGACTCTTGAGGATGGTTCTGGTTAGCATCAGCGGCTCGCCAAAGGGCCGCACAATGTCGGTTTTCGTATTCATTGCAGCTGCAGGCATATGTATTCCAGAACATATACATAGAGATATATGCATTGATTTAGATATATAATCATTATATGGATTTATTTTTGAATGCGAAGCGACAATTGTTAGTCAGTTGTTTAATCGCAGTGAGCTGCTTAGTGGGTTCGACTTTGGCATGCTGGAGCGTATTAAAACTAATTAAGTTAAACGAAGACATGGCAAAAGTATTAAACATTAAGACGCCAGCGTTCATGCATAAAACGGCGGAACTCAGCCAGAACAGACACTGTCCTGGGGCCAGCATGTAATAGAGCAGAAAAAAATAATCCGGCTGAAAGCTCAAGCTCTGGCTGCAGCTATCTGACTGTGCCTGGCCGGCCTGGCTCGCAGCAAGCTCTCGGACCAGGCCAAAAAGAAAACATGCAAATGGTGCGAGCAAATGTAAAGAAGAAAAAAAACTGAACCCGAAGAAAAATGAAAATCCCAGTCGCAAGTTCCAATCTAAAGGCGAAAAAAGACAGAGATAGAGAGAGAGAGAGAGGGGTAGGAAATTGTGCGCCACAACAAATTTTAGCATAATTATGTTGCAGGAAACTTGAAGTCGAGGAGAGAGACCGGCTAAGCAGCCCAAAGATAAAAAGACAAAAAGAAAACCCCGTTTCCCAAGCCTGCCCTTCCACTCTACTACTCGGCCAGCTATCTCGCGCGGACATGGCTGCGAATAGATTGAGAATGCCATTAAAAATGCGGCAGATATTAAGCATAAATGAACTCGGCTCCAACTTGGCCAGAACTTCCATTTTGTGCAACTTGCAACTGTGCAACTGTGCAACATTTGTGTGTGCGCATTTCATGTACTCTGCAGTCATGAAAAACGCATGAGCTGGGCTATAATTAGCTAGACGTAGACAGTGGGAGCCTGTTTGAAAGTTTGATCAGCTGCTTCAGATTCTTGCTTTTTTAATTGTGTGCATTCTGTCAGAAATAAAAACCAATTTTTTACTTCATTATTCGAGCTTATTTACGACAATGTCGCAGATTTAAAGAGTTGTCAGTTTTGTAGCTTTTTTCAAGCAATTTTTAGCCAATATTTGGGTTTTCTTGGTGGCGATAGTCCCAAGTTCCCAGCCAAAAAGTTTGAAAATTGCATGTCAAAATCAGTTTTTGAAACACGAGAATTTAGGGCCTCATGAATCTCAGGTATAGCAATTGTCTAGTCTATAATCTATAAAATGGGCAGATCTTTTAAAGCTTACTTTTACAGGGCAGCTGCTGGTCGAGCACTTTCAACTGTAGAATTCTTACTGGTATTTTAATAGTATTGGAGCGGGCATTATAATAATAATCTTATGAAATGTGTAACGTATAGTAGGAGACAACGCCGACCGGATAAAAATATATATTCTTGATAAGCATCAACAGCCGAGTTGATAAAGCCAAGTCGGACTGTCCGTCCTCCCGCTTGTCCACCTGTTGGCCCGTCTGTCCCTCCGTCCGGCAGTCTATCGCTATGCGAACTCCTCTCCCAGTTCTAAAGCTATCCTCTTGTATCTTTGCAAAGATCCGTCTTTTATCCGTTTTTGTGTGACAAAATAGTCTCACATATCTGCTAACTCTAAGGGCAACTGTCGAGAAGGGTATTTAATCTTCGGTGTGCCGCAAATATGCGTACTTTCTCGTTACTTTTATTTGATGTTTTTCTTGTGTGGCACACAAAAGCTGACAATGGCGCGCAATTTACACGGCACAGACGCTGCGAGTTGTTTCTTTAGCTGCACGCTACAACTTTTCCCCTGCCCCGGCTCTTGTCTACTGTTTGCAAGCCCCTGCCTCTCCCCACCCTAACAAGAGTCGAGTCCTGTTGCAAAAGGCAACTCGGCCATGTATACAAATTATGCCAATGTGCCTTGGCTAGGCTTGTAATTGCAGTTGTTGCTGCTGCAGTTGTTGTTGTTGTTGTTGTTGCTGCTGCCGGAAATGAGCCGTTTGCCTGAAGTGTAAACTGGGTTAAGACTAATTGGCGTGCTGGGCCATTGTTAAAGCGAAGTTTGGATTGCGAGGCGTCTCTAACTGGAAATTAAAGTAAATGAAATGCATTTCGTTTGGTGCAATTAACTAAGGTGTAACATTCAACACACACACACACACACGCGCACACACACGCACTCTCTATAAAATACAACACACACAGAGAGAGAGAGAGAGAGAGAGGGGCGGGAAGACACAGAGGCAGAGAGAGAGTGGGAGAGTGGGAGACAGTGAGACAACATTAAATGCGACACGTAAAAAACACGTATTAAACATTCAATTGGAATAAAATGCAGTACTATTCCAAAAAGAACAGTTGCTTGTTCGAGTTGTTGTTGTTGTTGTAGTTGATGTTGTTGTTGTAGTTGATGTTGTTGATGAACTGATAATTGTTGTTGCAGTTGCTGTTGTTGATATTGTTGTTGTTGTTGTTGCTATTGCTGCTGTAAAACTGATTGCAGCACTGTCAAACGAATAGTTGCCGCACAAATCGATGACCGAATGTGCCGCACGTTGCGTGCGAATACAGGTAGCAGCTAGATTTGTAGGTGTCTCAAGGTATTCGTGTGGATAGTTGTGGTGGTGGTGGTGGTAGAAGTGATGGTGGTGGTGCTGGTAGTGTTGTTGTAGCTGTTGTAGCTGTTGTTCTTGTTGTTGGTGGTTGTATGTGACGTAATTACTTTCTGGCAATGATATGGAGCGATGCTGCTGCTGCTGCGACGAGCGCTGCTGTCGCAGCCGTCCAAAGCCGGACAACGGTCGAAATCCGGCAAACAGACGACGCCGCACTCCCGGATCATTTTGCAGATAGCTGCAGGCGAGCGGCTGCTGCTGCGGCAGCTGTTGCTGATGTGCTGGCGAGGCCTGTTGCTGGTATAAAGAAGATGTTGCTGCTGTCGATGTTGTTGCCGCTGCTGTTGCTGCTGCTGCTGCTGCTGCTGCTGTTGATTGCTGCTGTAGTTGCAGCTGTTGCTGCTGCAATGCGCTGGCCGTGTAGTAGTTAATGCCAAAGCCGCTGCTGATGTACGCCGAGCTGGACATATTGCTGACGGGCGCATAGGGCGCGGCATAGCGTTGATCTTTGTGCCAATTGCAGTTGCAGTCGCAGTCGCAGTTGTATTTATTTCATTTCATATACATTTTTTTTATATATATATATTTTTTTTTTTTTTTCGGTTTTTAGGCAAGCGCAACAAATTGTGGCAAAGAGATGACACGAGAAAACATTTTGGTGTGTGTTAATTTCGAATTGTTGCACAATCAATAAATTAAGTGTCCTGTTTCAGTGTGTGCCTGCGAGTCTGTCTGTGTCTGTGTGTGTGAGTGTGTCTGTGTATGGGTGTGTACAAATTAAGGCATTATATCATTATATATAATCCCATTATTGCAATCTCAGTCAAATTGGTCAAATTAGCCAATTGCCATGCCGCTGCAATAAACCATTTAATATTGTGCGAGCAACAAATTGGCTAGAGAAATAATGACAAAGGCACAAAGGACGCAGCAACAATCCACACACACACACACACACACTTTGCTAATTGGAAATATGTAGCTGCAGCAACCACAGGGGAAATGCAGCTGCTGTTGCAGTTGCAGTTGCAGCTGCAAGTGATGAAGCTGGCGCTAATTATGAGGCCAGCTGCTTTTGGCCTAGCCAATGCACTCGAGTGCGACAGATTGCAAATAGGCAACGCCATTTAAACTGATCGCCCTCAGCGAAAGGGGCGGGGCGTGAGCGTGTGTGTGGGTGTGTGTGTGTGTGTGAAAATTGTGCTGCCAGCTCGCTGCGTCGATTTTCAATTGAAAATCATTCTTGCATGGCTGCCTTTGATATTGTAACCGGGCATATACACAATACATATAGGTAATCAAAATACCCTACCAAATGTGGCAAGCGTTTTTTTTAAATAATAATTAACTTAAAAAAAAAAAATTAATTATAAGCATATTAAATAGTTTAATTATAAGTTGTCAATCACTATTATTGATTTATGATATTTGATATTGCATTTTAAATAAGTATATAAATAAGTTAACGAGTTTTTTAAGTAGTGTATATAAATATTCGGCGTGTCGTAGGCAGCTCTATTCAATTGATATTTGGGTCATGATAATAGATACAACGAGTGAAATTTTGGTAGGAGCACGAGCCACAGCTCGCACAGCACGCATACACACTGGGGAAATAGACACACACACTCACACACACACACACACACACACACATTCACTCCCATACATATGCAGAGAAGTCTCAAAGTCAAATAGTTATTAAATAAATGACCTATTTAAAACTTAAGCACTTGCATTTAGAGTTAAAAAATAAAGCTTTTATTCAAGTGGTTTATTAATTTGAGTAAATATGTGTGTGTGTGTGTGAATGAGTGTGTGTGTGTGTGTGTGTGTTGCATGATAGTATATATGTCATGATTAGCATATACAAAATACATAGAAACTAAATACATTGGTTTAGTTAAGCACTAGTTATATATGTGGCTAATTAAATGCTGTTGCTAAACGCTAGTTAAAGGAACTAAGCTAAAAACTACGATTTGGCAATTAGCTAGAGAAAAGCAGAAAGTTTGTATTTAATTTGGGGCTGGCGCAAAGTGCCAAATAAAATGTGTGAGTGTGTGTATCTAAAAGTTGTACACAAAATGCATAGCTACATTGCTCAAGTGTGTGTGTGTGTGTGTGTATGTATATGTGTGTGTGTTGGCCAAATTCTAAATCGCAAGCGTAGGAGCAGCAATCGGCAAGGCGAAGCAACGGGGCGTATGCGCAATGTATCTAACGTATGCAGTTGGGCAATCAGAATGGGAATTGAATGTGTGTGTGTGTGTGTGTGTGTGTGAGGCTTCAACGGATGCGCTACTTGGCGTTTATACAAGTGCAGTAATAGCATATAGCAGAGTTGTAGGTGATTAAAAAGTATTTAAGGACTTGCACTCACTCTAAGTAGGTATGTGTATCTATGTGTGTGTGTGTGTATGTGTGAGTGAGATGGCAAATATCAAATATTAGTAGCTGCTTTTATGGCTAAGCTAACACAGCACTTACATATGCATGTGTGTGTGTGTGTGTGTGTGTGTATAGAATATATGTGGGTGTGTGTGTTACAATACTTTCAACTTTGCTTTAAAGATTGATTTACTTGGAAGTCTTGAATTTGGAGTTTAACGAAACGAAATGAAGAAATGTGAGCTGAATTGATTGATTGATTCTTTGTAAGAGAAAGAGAGGGCAGGGGGAGAGACAGACAGAGAGAGAGAAAGAGATAGAGAGAGAGAGAGAGAGAACAAAGGGTAACCGAGATAAAAACCAAAGCTACAAACCATAAAAATGTCAAAAGTAACGGCACAAAAAACAAAACCGAGATAAATGCAAGAAATAGAGTTTATGAAATTATGAGCAGACTTTAAGTTACATAGAGAGAGACAGAGAGAGAGAGAGCGAGAGAGAGAGAGAGAGACAACAAAACTACTATGTCGCAATCTTTTTTTCGGTTTTAATTTTTTTTTTGGTTTTTTTTTTGCGGACCTGAGCTACTAGAGATATCTTGTGTGGGCACCGGCAGACCGCCGCGCTGCTGCTGCAGCTCCTGTTGCTGCAATTGGACGCCCAGTATGGGCATAGCCACGGGCGGCGGACGAACACCACGGCCGGCGCGCACCGCTGCCGCCTGGGCAACCGATGCCAGGCTGCGCTGGTGCTGCTGATGCGTCTGCTGATGGATCGGCTGATGGGTCTGCTGATGCTGCGGCTCCGGCAGCAACGGTTCCGGCACATTGACAATGGGTATCTCGGCGACGGGCAGCCGTTCCACAGCGCTGCTGGCCAGCGGCTGCAGCGGCAAGACTGTGCTCGCTGCGCCCGGAGCTCCGGCTCCGGCTCCGAGGGCAGCTCCAACGCTGCTGCTGCTGCCATCCAACGTTTGTTTGCCCGGCACGTGGATGGCTTTGTCGGCGGCGGCGGCGACGGCGGCTGGAATATGCCCGGATTTGAGTTCGCCGGCTTGTTTCAGCACACGATAAATTTGATCGATTTCGGTAATTTCTTTTGTTTATTAATTTTTGATTGGTTCGTGCCGTGGCATTTAAGTTGATTAGTTGCCGTATTTGGTTTTTTTTTTTTTTTTGTTCAATTTTATTTGTTGGTGGTGATGGTGGGCGTGGTGAAGAGTGGTGGGCGTGGTGTTGGCCAGTTGTGGTTTGGTTCAATTTCGATACGTTTTTCGATTTTGGTGATGTGCATTGAAGTGCATTAGTTAGATTTTGGCAAGTGGTTGGTTGGAACGATGATTCGTAATGGGTTTCGAGGGGGGCGGGGGAGGGTTCTCTTAAGGGTTGATGAATGAATATTCTTATATAACATATGTGTGTAATTGTCTGTCTGTGTGTGTGTGTATGTTTGTGTATGTCTGTGTATGCTAGAGTTTACTTTAGCTTAATCCACACGTTTTGCATAATCCGCCTGCTCGAGCGCTTTTGTTACGGGTTTCAACAATGTTCGAATGTGTGTTTTTGTGTCTGAGTAAAAAACTAACGACATATTTAGGTTTAACCTCTAGTTAGGCGACATTTAGAAATGGTATCAAACGCTAAATGTGTATCGATTGCTTGCCCAATTCTTAGAGTACCCAAAAATAATCGATATATATATAAATATATATGTGTGTGTGTGTGTGTGCGATATGTTAAACGATAGCTAGTGATAGGTTGCGCAGATTTCTGATTGATCTTATGTTATTTTATAATTGTTGTTTTTCTTGTGGCAATAAGATTTACTTAATGACAGCTCTAGAACATGCTCCACTACGCAATCTTATTGTTGTTGTACGATTTAGTCGAAAAAAAAGTATATATATCGATAGTTCGATAGCTCGATCAATTTACTCTTTTGGTGAATTTTCATAGCCTGCATAATGTGTTGTGAATGGATTTTGAAAAAACTCTTTTGTTTTGTGTATTCTGTTGAACTGAGTGTTGTTTTTGCTGATCTTGTTTTAATATATTTAGTATATATATATATATGTATATATATATATAGATAAATGATAATTGTTTGTTTTCATTCTTGTCTGGCTAATTAGGTGAATCAAAGCGCAACAATCAATCATTGCATTAACCGAATTCGGAAAACATAAAATCGATAACACAAATTATCTCGAAATAAATGAATATTGAAAATATAAAAATTAAACACAAAAGATACAATTCAAGCGCATGGCAATTGAGTATCTTTGCGCATACAATATAAGTATGATATATACTATATAGAGTAATACATTCGGTACCTAGTTGCGCAATGCGATTGATGAAGGGCGTCTTTTGACGAAATTTCGTATTGGGCACATTCAACAGATTTGCGCTTTGATTTTGTTCATCGGCTGCGGTTTGCCCACATTGGGGGCTAACGGACTCCTGTGGCGATGCTTTTTCGGGTTTTTTTTATAGTTATTTTTATTTTCGTATTTTTTTTTTTTTTTTTTTTGTGGAGGAAGAGGATTTTATAGTTGAGTATTTATTGAGTGGTTTTTGCTGTCTAGCTAAAGTTTGTTTTTGTATTGTTTTTAAAGGCCAAAAACACAGTTCGAGAGACTTTTAAACAATAATAAATGTTAACAATTTCTAAATCAAAGAGCTTACTGCGTGTACGCTTAGAGAATTAGAGATTTTAGAGGTAGTTAAAAATAAATTGTTTTTAAATGTTGAAAAAAAAAAACAAATATTATTTAATTTTACACAAATAAATCGTCGTTTATCTCGAGCTGTGCACTGGCCTCGAGCAGTGAATGTGTTAACGTACAAAATATCTGCAGCTGCCCCCACACCCAGAAAATATGTACTGCCAATATTTAAATAAAAGTATTTACAGAAACTACAATTGATTGAACAACATGGAGCTGAAAGTCCCACACTGCAGCCACAAATCATCAGCAACGCCCACGAAGTCCATAAAATAAAACGCTTGACAACCAAAGTGAAAACGAGAAAAATGTAAAACAAAATGTAAAAACACAAAAATTTGGGCATTAATATAAAATATATTTCTTGTCGAAATTTGTTTTTTTTTTTTTTACGAATTGCTGCAGAAATCAAAAGCGATGCAATCAGTTTGTCTCACGGCTGACATAAATCCATTGCGATATCAATTGATGCCCGGACGCCAACGAAACAGTCAAATCAATACGCAGACAGCACGAGGATGTGCTCCAGCACAATTTGACAAGTTTTCTTTTTTGGTTGTTTGTTCCCCCCTTTATTCGCTGATACTTATCGGATTTCTGATTCGAGTCTAGAAGTTGGCATGCAATGGACTGAAAATAACACAGGTAATGGGCACATTTGTGTGGAGGCGGATACACAAAGTGCACAATTTACAGTGCCAGCTCGAGCAGGACATATGGGGCGACAACATCCTGATTCTGGGCCATGCAAATGCAATATTTGCATTTGGACCAATCGAAAGTACAAACCCAACACAAATACAAACAACACAAATGTTAAGTTAACAGAAACGAAAACAAAAACAATGTAAGGTCAATTTTTAGCATTAACACTCAAGGGTTTTCTGGCTGGCTGGCTGTTTTCTTATGCATATTTAGAAGGTAATAAAAACCCATCACACCTAGGGGACAGATCGTTAATGTACAGATACAGCTGGAGCTGGAGCAACAAGGCTCTGGCCTTGTGTGTGTAAGCATATTTTTGGCAGAGAGTGTTATTTTGTGGTTATTGTTAAAAAGGGGGGGCGTCAGCGTTGGGGCGTTTAATTGGCGCGTGATGAGAGCTTGCGAGAGAGCATTGTTATTGTGCTTGGAAAATACTCACTTTCTTCCTCGATATCAACACGATTCTCCAGCTCCGAGGTGCTCTTCTGGCGACGCAACAGTTTCTGTTTGGGCTGGCAGCGTGGCAAATTCGGAGCACAATCTCCATGGGCATTCAGCTTGCAAATGCGACAACGCAGGCCCTGACGTGTGTGGCCTGTGTCAGTAAGATGGGGGAAGGAAAGGTGTCAGATTCCGTCAGCACCAGGCACAACTGTTTACGGGCATACGCACCTCTCAAAATTTGCGAGCAGACATCACAAGCCGTTATCTTTTTGTACGTGTACTCCTGCAGATGATGGCTGCCATCCAGGTTGGGGCGCAGCGATTCCGATGGGGCATTCGAGGCACCATTACGCCTGTGAAGAGTGCAATTCAGATGGTATCAGTACGGGCTCCCACACGCACACACACACACACACTCGCTCACACACATACAGGCACACACATATTCATACTCGTATGCGATGATATGCGTTTAAAATACAACTCAATTTAATTTAATCCAATCCACAAAACTCGTGTTAAATGTTGCGCTTTTGCTCGGACTAAACGAGTAAATGTAATTATTGTGTCAACCACAATATACAAATATTTATGCTAACATATACAGACATGTATACATTATATATATATATATAACTATATAAACATATGCGTGCAGCAGAATATTGAAGTGTAAATTTGCATTTTGTAGATAAATCGTGCGACCGCTGACTGTGGCTGGGCGCCAGGCTTTTGTTATATTATTATAACATATAAATATGCACAATGACAACGGCAAACAATGGCAAATACACAATGCCAGTTGAACATTAATCACAAAGCCTTGTTTAAAGACACAAAAAGTGGCACCATGCCAGAAAATAAACAACTGTTGTCAATATTAATAAGTTTTTCGTTACTCTCATATCAAAATAATACAAAGAAGTCTCTTTATTTTTTTATTTATTTCAGCTAGGTCCTAATCGGCAGCTGCTCTCAGTTTCAGTCAGGCTGGTAAAAGTTAAGGTTTTGTAGAGAAAATCGTTTGTATTTGGTTGATAAATAGGGGTATTAAGTCTTCGGCTTTTGCCTAGGCTGTTAATTTAGCTACTCATCATCAAACGTAACACAATAAAATGAATAATATACTTGGCTATTTTTGGTATAAAAAGCATTTCGTGTATCTCAATAATTTGATGTCATATTTATATGCATAGCATTTGCCCTCGAATATAACCAATTTGTTGTTTTTATGTTCCTGCTGTTTGCTGGCTTTTTCCTCGCTGGCCCCTGTTTTATTTACCAGAAAAGCATACAGCCAAACGATTGGACAGACTGACACACAGACAGACAGAGAGACAGACAGACAGAGGCTGGGACATATAGACAATACGCCAGACACAGTGTTCACAGTGGGCGGTCGAGAGGGTCATGTCGGAGAAACCCAGGCTCAGGCTCTGGCCCGAGCCCAACAGGCACAGGGCCTGGCTGAGGACCGGGCCAGGACGAGTGGCTATGGAAGTGGGCCAACTCTCGACGCTGATTGTTTGTAAGTGGCTTATATTGTGCACACAAACAAACAATTCAGCTCAGTTCAGCACGTTGGCTTATAAAGTTGTTAACAAACGTGTAAAATATACAAATTTTTGTATTGTATTTTATCCCTTTCAAGTTAAGTAATTACCATTTTATATATTTACACATTTTACTTTGTACGTGCCTCAAGTAAAAGCGCAACATTTGCTACAAATTATAAATTGTTTTTTTTTTTTTGTTTAATGATTTTTGAAAATAAACTTATTAAGCTAAAGCTAGTGTCAAGAATTATTTGTATATCGTTAGCTTAGCTATAAATGTTGATTATCTTTCGCAGTTTGTTGAGAAATTAAAGTTCAGTGTTTACTCATATTCATACATAAACATACACTAGTGTTGATAAATGCTGAAAGCTACAAAACTATTGAATATAAACTATGTTGACACCCAGCCACAATGCAGAGCAGGCATTACTATATAATAGATCAAGTTGAAATCTAATTAATTAAAAGATATCGCTAACAAAAAATATTTGTAATTAGAAAAATATCTTAATGGCAATTACGGGCCAGTGCTAAACAATAGCTAAAACTAATCGTGCTTTTACCCATTTTATTACTCTTAACCACTTTGGAATACCATAATTCAATAATAAGTTCTTTCTTGCAAACAAATCCCCGCTTCTCAACTCATCAACTCGACTACTTTATAACACTATAAAACGTTATTTTATCTAAAGAAATACCCGCTTCTCAACACTAATACACCTAACTCAACTTGTAATTTAAATATATAAATACTTTACGAAAACTTCTCAACTACTCTAAGCTCCACTTTAAATGCTAGCATGAAAGTCTAGTAAGCATAATATATAAATTATTGAACTATTTACCAACACTGATAACCTAACCTCAATTAAATGGAAGTAACTGTTTAATTGGGGCTTACTTATACCAAGATCACAGAGATCACACATATACGGATTTCACATATATTAATTGCATTATATATATAGTACAAGTTGTTGATAAAAAAACTAAATACATTTAGTTGGGTTCATATTTGATATGGCTATTATATTTTAATATACATAGGGTACACTAAGCAATAAGTGTGGGTGTGTGTATGGGTGTATATATATATATATATTAGAGTGTGAGTGTAAGTATAATGGTGATTTAATGTACATGGGGTTGTTCTGCTTGTCACTAGAGTTACTTATTGTAGTTGGGAGGAGTACTAGCAAAATGCATGTTTTACTATTTATCAACATGGAAAAAAATGATAGGGCCACAAAATTAATTATACATTTTTCATTAATGCACCAACTAAAAGTTTTATGAAACCAAAAAACAACAAAATACTGTACAATCAACAAAAAAATATTCCCGCAATTGCTGCTGCCTGGCTGGCTGGCTTGCTGGGCGTGTGGGCGTGCCTTAACGGGGGGCATTAGTAATTTCGAGGCGGAATGCGAAAAGTTTTGCAATATAACAAAAGTTTAGCTGTGATTTTCTTGTCACGTTTGTAAATGTTTATATTAAATCTTAGCGCCAATGCACTTATGAACGAGAAGTAATATAGAGGCATATATATATATATATACATATAGAAAATGAACAGCTAAGCAGATGAGTTGATGAATGAGGCTGCAACGAATATTAAAAAATGTGTTGTCGCCGCAGCAGTTGGCCATAATTCCGCTAAAGCTGACGAGTTATCGCTAACTCTATCTATCAGTATCTATGTCTCTCCTCTCACACTCTCTAAGCCGAGAAGATTTTCGATTTATCATCGTTTGCAGCGCAAGCTGTCGGCATGGTATTAAGCATTGTTGGCGAATGCTACCAAACAAATAAAAAAAAAAAGTATATATATGAAGAAGAAAAAGCAGGCAATGGGCCAATGGGAATGCCATAAACGGCAGCCAATTCGAATGCGAATACGGGCTGCGGAAGTGGATGCGAATGCGAATGCGGATGCGGATACGGCTGCTGTTGCCCAGTGCATGGTCAATACCAATGCAATTTATCTACAAGCATTTCTATGTGTGTGCGAGTGTCTATGGCGGCTCTTCGAAATTTATAGCCAGCAATTTTTCGCATATTTTCCAATGCTTCAACTGGCGCCACAGTTGAATTTACTGGTTACGAAGGCGGCCAAGTTCTATGTAACCATATGGACACAGATATAGCCAAAGTTGGAGCCTACTTTTTGTTGGATAACTGATTCAGAGCTGCGGAGCTGACAAACTTTGTTGCAGTCTTACTTTTTTTTTTTATGAAAGGGCACGCGTTGGGCGGAAATATTTGATATATGGACATAAATGCTGCCTCGAGGCAGCCGATCGGAGCTCTTAATTCGAGCGAAGATCTCAGAGCTATACGAAATATATTGTCTGTTAGAGAATTTAGTTTTCGGCTTGCTAAATTAATTATTGCCAACTTGTTTTTACTAAAAAATAGTGTTTATTGTTTTTTGTGCTTTTAGCAATTTTAATTGATTTCACGAAGGCTGTGATTGATGGTCCGAACGTCGGACACAGGCGCAGGTGCAATTTATGGCTGACGCTCGAAAAAAAAATAATATTCACAAAAAGAAAATAACAAAATATTTATTTAAAATGCAACTAAAAACTTGTTTTCACCGCTTTTGTGCAGATTTTTTTTTATCTGTTTGCTAAATTTGATATAAAATATTATTGGAATTTGTAATATTTCTTGGGGTTTTTACAATCGAATTGGTTTTAATTGTGTTTTGGTAGCTGCTAATACTACATTGGCGTGCAACATTTATGGCAATTTGTTTTTTTTGTTTGGTTCTATCAAGCTCTAATAAAGCAAAATATTTAAATTTATATTTAATAAAAGTTGTTTTCGTTTTTTGTTTTTTTCCCTTTTGATTAGAAACACAAAAATTGTTTTTAGTTGCTTGATTAATTTGGTTACCTCAAGGTCAGAACGGTTGATACGGCGTGGTACATTTGATTTTGTCGGGGTGGTTGGCTGATTGTAACATATCATACGATATATATATATATATAGATAATAGTTTGTACGATTTTCGTTTGAAATTTATATTTTCGGCAGTATATGAATATTTTGTGTATGTTTTTTTTGTTTAAGGATGTTGTATAGAGAAAAGTGTAGAGAATATTAGTAAATGCAGCAAGAAGTTTAACTAGGCTAACTTAAAGGAAATTTAATAGCTAAAGGATGCTTAAAGTTAGCTTAGGATTTATATTTTATTTTTTACTTTATGGTCTGGTTGAAGGGAGCATGGGGAGGGTGGGGAGCTGTGTGGCTACAGTTAAAAACCACAAAATGCAACTGAAAGGCGCGTACAGAAAATGTTAACCTCTGCAGCTTCCTCTTTTCGTGACGTGATTAAATTACTTAACATAAATTGCAGAATATACGGCAGATGCAGAAATTGCACAATTTTGAACTGTTGCATAAATGGCGCAAATATTTGAAAGAGGTTTTTCACTTTTTCCACTTATTTTTTCTCCTTTTATTTCATTTTGCCACACTTTTTTTTTTTGGAATATTTTTCGCGGCTTTTAGTCATATTAAAGTGCGGGGGGGGTGGTAGGGGGCGTGCGGTTGTATATTTGGGCGCTTTGCCGCGCTTCATTTTGTATCTATGCAGTTGGAACATTTTCCGACAATTTGCTGCGTATTTTGCGCGCAGCTGTTTTTGCTTTTTTTACTTTTCAGGACTCGAACTGGAACTAAATATTTCGAGTGAGCAAGAGATTTGGCATTTGGGCTTAAATATAATAAACAAACATATATATATATATATATATAGATTCTATAGGAAGGAGGGTGCTCTTGTTATGGGAGTGAATGGGGGTATGCTTTTTTGGCGGATAGGGCGTGTGGGTGGTACTTACCTATCTGCTTGTGTTGCTGAACCAGAACCCGCCGGCTTTAGGCTCTTAAATGCTTTCAGCCACTTTGTTTTCATCGATGGCGCTGTGGCGGCCGAGAATTTGCGTTCGTTGCGCGGCGAAGTTGGCTCAACTTTGCTAACGAATAACTCCTTCTGCAATTGCCAAGAGAGAGAGAGAGAGACACAGACACACACAGAGAGTGAGATAGAGAGAAATGGAGATAGAAAGAGAAAGAGAGAGATAGTGCTTAGTGCTGTGGTAAATACAATTTGACCTAAGTCAAAGCAGCTCGCTTGCAAGCAATTTGCATTTAAGCGTCTCACGTTGCAGTTTAATTACAGCCATTAGCACAACACACACACACACACACACATACACACGGAGTTAGCTACAAGCTCGTTATAGCATAATTACATGCATACAAGTTGTATTTAGGCGCAAATGTTAAATATTTAACTGCATATCTGATATTCGGTTATTTTGATAGGCGCTCTAACAACTTCACAGCCATTTGTGCTGTGCGTGCCATGGCAAATAAAGCTATTTTAATTAATAATCAACACTTTGCACCACAACACATACCACAAAATGTAATCATGCCACGCACGCACTCACACACATACACACACACACACACACACACACATTTAGACACTTATGTGACAATAATTAAAACCACGTGTGACATTTGGTCACAGTTCAGTTTAGCTTTAGCCTTTGTTGTTGTTGCTGTAGCCATGCTCTCTGACTAATGCTGGTAATCACAGTGTGCACTGCTTAAGTAATCCAGCAATAAATGCATAAATTTCACATTATGCGGTTCTTTTAATGGCATACGGAATGTTGATTAAATGCAATTTATCTATATGTAAATTTATAATTATTTAGAGCTGACCCACATTACACGTGGGTCTGTGTGTTAGGACGGAAGCTAATTTCATTATAGAAAAAAAAAAAAACGAAACCTTGTCAAATAACTCATTATTAAATAACAATAAATTTATAAGGGCTTAGTTACACTTATGAAAATCGCATAGAAAGGCGATGTTGCGAAGGGATTTAGATTGGGTGAAAGGGAGTCAGAGAAAGAGTTCGTAAGTAAGAGAAAGACAGAGAGTCAGAGATACAGAGAGAGAGAGAATGAGAGGGAGATAGAGAGAGACAGAAAGAGAGAGAGAGGCAGAGAGTGAGAGAGGTGTAGAGAGAAGGAGGGACAGAGAGAGAGAGAGAGAGAACGAGAGGGAGATAAGCAGAGATAGAGAGTGAGAGGAGCGGAGAGGAGATGGAGGCTAATTAAAAAGATAACCGAAAAACCTGAATCCGAGAGTAATAATGAAAGTTATGGCGAGGGAAAGGAAGATTGAGAGGCCCAGTTGAATATAAAGAACTAAAAAACACTGAAAAAGACGTTGGCCCACGTTATTTAACATTGCAATTTGGCTAATTTGGCTGCTTCACAACACTACAACCAAGCGAGTTTACACTAATTAAAATAAATTGAGACTTAATGCTTCCGCTTAACTGACTGCATAAAGCATAAGCGTCTGCTTAACTGGCTTCAATCAGAGTATATATAAATCATAAAGCTTTTCAAAGCGAAATGCACAAACTTTCGGCTGTCTATTTCGGCCGGGACCTTGAACATCTGCATAGATCATTGCGCTGTGCTGGCAGTGAACGATATTGACTTGTGTTTTCAACTCGGAGACAGGCGGATAGACATGCCTGATGATTACGTGTAGCCTTGCCACAACAATCACAGAAGCAGCCCGAATAAAAACAGCAACAACAACAACACCCAAAATTCAGCACTCTCGCAATTGCAGCATTTATAATGCAGCGAGGCGCGTGCACTTTTGTTGCCTGTCGCCTGACGCTCTTGTCGCTGTTATTGTCGTTGTTGACTTTTGATGCACGTTGCGAGCACTATTTTCGACATGTTACTTTCTTTTTTTTTTTTGGGGGGGGCTGGGTGGCGTAGGCCAACTGACAGACCTGACAGTGGATTGGCATGAGAGCGTCCTTGTGCCTGACAGCAGGATATTGAGTTTGTCATGCGGCTGCAGGGTTTGGCTGATGTGGCAGGCCTATATGGATATCGATATCGAATGCACGCCATCATAAAATATTATTTTTAATAGCAACAACAACTGCCATTATAGAATGCATTTTATAAACGTTTAATTGATTCGCTGCAATTATAAATTAATTGCATTGCCGCTGACAAAGCGACGCCTGCACAAATATTATGCGCAATTTAATATGCACGAAACACAGCGCCAGCATTTAATTAAGATACATTTTTTATACGAAAATGATAAACTAAAAAGCAAAGCTAAAGCTCAACTTAAAGGAACACACATGAATATGGTGACAGAAGGCTGGGAGCAGGCCAAGATAAGAAGCTGCCGGCGCCTGACGTTGAGCACCAGCATCACGAGCAGTACAAGTGTGTGTGCGTGTGTGGGTGTGTGTGCGAGTGTGTGTGTGTGCTGGCGCCCAAGCGGGCTCCTTCGTAATGGACATGTGCCTGTCATGTTGCCTTTGTCATTGTCGTTAGCGGGCGTGTCCTGTGCCATAAATTTATGCATGCAGTGCATAAAATTCAAATTAAAGGAGCCGCCGTCGCCGTCGCCGTCGCGTATCCTGCCAGCGACAAGTACACGTTTTGACACTTTACAACACTAGTGGGTCTGGCCTGCTGTCGCCATAGCTTTGCCCGGCAACTGTTACCCGCAGCTACCCAGCAACAACGTGAGCTGCTTTATCGCCCGCTTTGCTGTCAGGGCCAACTACAGCTGCTAAAAGCAAGCGCCAGCTCCTGATGTGGGCGTCAACTTCAACGTCTCGGCAATCAGTGGCGAGCAGCAGCAGCAGAGGCAGTCGCCACAGCTCTGGCAAGACAATGAGAGGAGAGAAATGTTGCTTACCCTCGCTTACCCACGCTCTTGGCCCCCGCACTTGGCTGCCTTCAGTCATCGGGCTTCCAAGTGCTTTTGAGTTCAACTTCAGTTGCATATAATGCCCCCTAATTGATTTCCTTTGCAGCTTGGCCCAAAAGTAGCCTCTGCTGACCGAAAAGCACTTGAAAACGCTGTGCACACTTTTATTTCGCTCCTCTTTTTAGCTGATTTTTCATTATGAGCCGGCTATCAGTGTCCTTCGGGAAGGCGAACAGACAAAAAAAATTTATGGCTGTCACAATTTTTAATTATGTTGCTCTACGCTTGCCATTGCGATATTGAAACCACAAAGGTATCATAAATTGCCGAGCCCGGGCACGACTGAGACCATAACAAATAAAAAACATAAAAAGACAACAAGCAGATTGGCAACAAAAGGCGGCCCAGAAAGTGGCTCGCACTGCCGCCAGACATTGGCCAGCAGCCACAGCAGCGACAGCAGAGCTCAAGTTGGCCAAACTAAAAATCTGCTCATTAAGAACCGCAACAAAGGAGCGGACCCTTTCGAGATGATGCTGGCCAGGAAATTCAAGATGAACAAAACAAAGGCCCGCCCGAACACTCTCATTCGGCTCGGGCTCAGCCTGAAAGGCAATTGCAACAAAATCTGCTTATTAGGGGTTCCAATGCGACTGGATTCAGAGAGTTAGAGAGGGGGAAGGCGGAGAGGCGAAGCGAGTTAGATTGTGCGCTTGTAATGAGCTATTCGAGCGCGTGGATGTGCGCGCATATTTTATTGCCACTTTGATGAGCAGCTGCCAACAATTTTAACCTATATACATTTTTTTTTCTCCGCCGTTGCACATTTTGTTGCGCCTTTGTAATTTGCGCAAAATAAAAAAAAAAAAAATAACAGAAATGGGTAGATGCATTGCCACAGGCAGCTGCAAGTTGCATGCGCTCAGTCATTAGTGGGCAAATGTGGCACGATATGTGCAGCGCTTACTTCATGGCTTTTAGAGCACCAACTAATTGCAGGCAGCCAGGCAGCTTTATGGGCAGGAGCTGCAGCAGAGACAGGAGCCAGCTCCAGTGAGTGCCGTGCAAACACGCTTAAGACAATTTAGCAAACATGAAACGAGACACAGACAAGGGGCATGCCTCTGCATGGTTTGGTGTCAGGAGCGGGAGCAGGGCCGTAGACGTGGGCGGAGGCTTTGCTAGCTGGCCAAACAAACATTTCCGTAAATTACACGCATTTGTCAAAACGAAACAATGCGCAAAGTGTTTATTTGTTTTAGTGAGTGCTTTTGAGCGCAAAAATGACTCAACACAAAAACTGCAGCTAGAAGGCAGCCCAGACAAATACAGTCAACAGCCCGCCCTCCACCAACCCCCGTCATATGTGTATGTGTGTTGGGAAAATGTAGCAACTTCTAATGGGTTTGCTTGTTGTTGAGATCATTGTTGTTGTTGTTGTTGTTGTTGCTGTTGCCTGCTGCACTCACGCGCGAAATGTAGAACAGCGATTATGCAACCACATGCAATGACAATGCAGCATCGATCCGGGGCTCTAACCACAATAAACGCGAACACACACACCCACACACACACACCCACACACACACACACACAGGAGTAGAAAGCGCCAGCCATTGCGCGCGTGCTATGCGGCGTATGCGCAATTTGTAATTTTCATTAACGCCTAAAAGCAGCAATTATTTTTTTTTTTTTTTGCGACCAGCGCTCTTCTTATTTTTAGATTTTTGTTCCGGCTGCTTTGTAATCGTGCATCGCTGAGTTTTGCATTGAATTAAACTAGAGTTTTTTAACCACAGACCACATAGCCACATGCTGTCCATGTTAAGCCACCAAATGACACTGGTTTAAAATCTATCTGAATTAAAATCTTGCCTAAAGCGAGAGCTACATCATAGTCCTTAACTGCTTGTAGTTGGTTGGCGCTTTCAGTGTAAAGTCAACGAAATTGTGCCTAGTATTTGTATAAAGCTAGCCGAAGCTTTTGCAGATATTGAAGTGTTGTACAATTTGTAAATGTTGGCATATTTATGCGGACTACATGAGTTTAATAGATTAAGTTAACAGATTCGGCTTAAGCAATAAAGCTCAATTAAAGTTGACACGATCTATTAAAGCTATCTTAAAGAGATGCTTATAAGCTTCAGTGTTGGAAAACTTTAAGTAAGTAAGTCAACTATGTGTTATCTAAGCATAATAATAAAGCTTGA